GATACCACCGAATATGACATCGTTCCCGATGTCTCCATCACCATTTGTGTTTGTATCTTGAGATTTTATTTTGGGGGGGGATATATGGAGATTAAAAATTTGACCAAGAGTTACTTTTAATTTACATAAAGGCTTGGATGGACTTTCATATATAGTTAATGCAACGACCCGCCATATATATAGTTTTTGTTAATTATTGTACAATAGTTTTACTTTGATTATTATATATACATGTTATGTATGTAGTCAATCAAATACCTAGCTGCTAATATATACAGTACACCTCATCCTCATGTTGCTTTAATGAGACGGTTAGTAGACGCCAATTGCATTAACTAGAGATGCAAGATGTCACATGCAAACTTACTGATATTCAACTTATTAATCTTCCATAACAACTACGATCGTGGATATAGTATTTGAGGTGTAATATTTTATTGTATTATATAAGTTGTTACTTGTATTGCTAATTGTTTATATTATATTAAGTTTTGGTATATATTGTAAGGAAAATTTAGGAAAACTTTATATTAAATATGAGTTTTCTGCTATTTGGGCTGGTTCAAAATGTAATTCATATAACAAAAATTTCAATTCAAAATAGTCTCAAACAAAAGACAATACACACCATATAACTTTTATTCGGACCAACCAAAATTCTGAGGTTCAGTAAGTCAAGGTTTTAACTTTTAAATAGTTATAGACAAGTCGTCGAAGTGTCGTTGATTGGCTAGTTCGGGAGTTACGTTCGAAGACTTTGTGAATAATAGTTTAAATAATATTAATCGACCACAAATGTTGAAAATGATAACATAGAGCTGGTAACAAAACCGTTAATACGACTAACATTCACGATTCAATGAGGGACCATCATCCTTTTTGAATTATTTGCAAGTGCATATTTAAAATAACGGGGAAATTAACTCATAAAGTGGGTGGGGACCATATTCTTAGCATATTCCCATTTTTAGCTTATTCCTAAAAAGCGACGAATGGGCGCACTTTTGGTCTCAAGTGAGAGAATCAAACCCTAAAGTATCCGCCAGGATTCTCTGAACATGGTTCGCCACATCAATGGACTTTGACTTTCCCTGGATGAACACAAGCTAGTCCAAGAACGTTACCTCGAGCATACCACATGGCACAGAGAAGGGCACTCGCGATTCCATAGATACCTTGTATCTGTGATCACCTTTTGTTACCACCTTTTAACTCACATCCACATCAAAAAATAGTAGGATTTCGGTTATAGTATGGACATCCAATCTGCTACGTAAAATACAATTATTTAAGAAAAATTATATAAAAACTAAAAAACTAGTAGAAATAATTGGAAATGTTCATATAAATTTTGCCCATCAGTATTCCACTGATTTACTTTTTGAGAATTGTACGTCTATTTTCTTTGTTTTTCTTTTAGCATGTGAAATCTAGCTGTCGTCGATTAATTTTAAGCTTATGATCATATGCTTTCAGAATCTTACAACACATTTGGGAGATTTTAATCGGTGTTTAAGTTAGTAAAATGAAGCTAAGACATGGAAATGATCAACACGTACATATGATCAAATGAAGTTACTAATTACTTCAATATAATGCTACTGTGCTCTCTTAGAGAGTTGTATCAATACAAAGAGAAATGGAATCAGGGGTAAATTAATTTACCAAGATTTGTTTTCGGAATTTCTCCGGACAGTGGATCCAAGACGGATGCAGGGCACATCGTTTGTAGAAACGTGATAAATAGTCGCTTCATATCCTACAATAACGAGTTTTGTTTCGCTTTTTGTGATCATTGTTGACCAAAACATTGTTTGCTCAAATGTTTTTGCCACGTTATTAGTATTTTATTTTATTTTGGAAAACTTTCATTTATTTAAAATTTTGGGAAACCTAAGAGCAATAAGAACTTTTTTTTTTGTTAAAGTAAGAGCAATAAGAACTTAAGTGCAAATATTAAACCATTGAAACAACCAAAAGATACCAAAAACCTATAAACAAGCCCAAATCACTCAAATCAATAAACTTCGAGAAAATGTGAAATTACAAAAAAAAAAAAAAAAAAAAAAAAAAAAAAAAAAAAATTGTTTATTAGTTTGACTTATGACCTTTTCCCATCACTGGAGAGTCATTTAAGTTTGAAACTAAGTTAAGTGACAGGCATGAGGCATTACTCATCGGAAAGAATCACAACAGTAATTGTATAATTCACGAGGGACCTAAGTATACAATGCACAGTAGTCGTATAAGTTACAACATTTGGCAAATGCATATTAAAATAAAAATGAAATGTTCTAGTTTCTTAATTATAAGTTTATAATAGCAAAACTACATGTTTTTTATTCGTAATGATATCTAGTTCTTGGGGTTATAACTTATTTAGGAATCATCTGCTTAGCTTATTCCTGAGATCGTCACAATTTTGGTTTTACGTAAGATACTTGTACTTATCCTTCTTCGTCAAGTTAGTGCACTCGAACCCTAACGTATCCGCAATGATTCTCTGAACATGGTTCGCCACATCATACGGACTTTTCCCGGACGAACATGTGTCCTCAATGGGAAGCTGCTTCAAGAACGTAATCTCGAACACGATTCTTGGGTTCATGAACTCGAAAATCAAATCCAGACCATTAGAGCTTCTTGCGGTGGCACGGAACAACCCACTGCCATCATTTATAGCAAAGGGGGCACGATTCCATCGGCTAACTCAGCGAAAAGCGCGCTGAATCTTAGCAAGAACGATTCCTGAAGGACTACTCCTTCGGGATATATCGTTAAATCTCCTTCAGACAGAGCTTGCTTTATTATCTCCGCGTCGATATTTCGAGACTTTCTTGTTATCCTCACTATTGGAACTGCAGATAATATTCTTGGAAACCATGCACGTGTGAATGTAATGGATGGCATGGTGCGTCCGAGAGCATGAGATAGCGCAAACCCGTCAAGTAGGGTTCTATGATTACCAACAAAGAGTAGGCTGGAGTCTCTAGCCGTCGGTGGCTGAGGAGGCTTTCCTTTGGCGGTGACTTGGATGCCTAATATTGGGTTGACATAGGACATGGCCCGTAATGGGAGGAGGAAGATAAGTGACATCCGGATGGCGGCGACAATGATTCCAAACGGGATCCAGAGGAGGGTTAGGAGAGCCACGACTGGCTTTGGTCGCTTCACGAAGCGTCCGTCGTAGAAGATCACTGGCTTTGGAGGCTGCACCTCAAAATGTTGGTCACTTTGGTCCGAGTGGACCGGTGCATAAATATGCTCCTAAACATATATAACAATTAATTAATAATTCACGTCTCTGTTATATATAACAATTGATGCACATGACTTCCTAAAAGTTGCAAGATTCCTAAACAATGTTTGTGCAATATATAGTACCTCGCATAACGATAAGAAAGTTGTATGCTATTTGGTCGGTCTTCCAAGACCTAGATGAGGGGCCTCCGATCAACAAACATGTTAGAGACACGGTTCAAAACAGATTGATCGATATTGGTTCACGTATCAAACCGGTGAAAAAACCAAACCGGTTCACGAAATCTCCGTACCGATGACCTCATCGGTTCCAAGATGCTTCTTAGCGAACCTCTCCACCATAACTCTAGGCATCCTAGTCACCACGACCTTCTTCTTACAGGAGCTGAAAATTTTCCACGTGTCCATGCTTAAGTCATCCATGTAGAACCTAAGCAGGACGGCTCTAGACACAAGCTCGATCTCCGATTCGCGGACACCTGCCATCGCTACAAAGATCATGAGCTTGAGAGCGGCGTTCTCGTAGCCGGAAACGTTAAGGAGTGCGATGATGGGCCAGAGAAACAACATGATGGTGAACCGGATGAGACCAGATGCTTCGTAGGCGACGAGCATGCAGTAAGAGAATGAATCCGGGTTTTTTGAGCAGTGTCCCTTCAAATTCCGACACGACCGAGTTTGAGGTTGTTGTCGGTGACTGCATTGCTACGTGCTTCCTTTTTCTTTTGTAGAAGAAGACGGATTGAAAAAGCTAATGAATGAAGTTTGGATTGATTTGTCTCTATTACGTAGAATGAACCACATTAGTTATATAGTACACGGTACGATGATAACAGCAGCGCAAAAATGGATGCTTTAATAGATGAAAATATGGATATGATTTTTGATGCTTGTGATCATATCTTTCAGAATCTGACAACACTTAATCGATGTTTAAGTTACTTAAACGAGGCTAAGACGTGAAAAATATGTTCAAGTTACTGCTGTACATGGAAATTGATGCTTGTGAAGTATAGGATCATATCTTTCAGAATATGACAACGCATTTGGAGTGTTTAATGGATGTCTAAGTTACTTAAACGAAGCCAAGACGTGGAAAATATGTTTAATTTTAATGCCGTTGTGCTCCCATTAGAAACGACTTGCATCAATACAAAGAAAAATTTGGCATCAGGGGTAAAATTACCAAATTTTGTTTTCGGAATATATCCAAGACGGATTCAGTCATGTTTTACAATTGTATCCTTCATATCCTATTGTTGACCAACATTTTTTTGGTTCCTCAAATGATTTCGCTACATCTCAAAATTTTCCATTTATTTCAACATAAAGGAACTAAAGAGCAAATAAACCAAGAAACCAACCAAAAATTACCCTAGAAACAAGCCCAAACCACACAATTCAGACAAGTCCCTTTGAACTTTTTATTAAATTACACAAGATTATTGTTTTCGGAACAAAAAAAGGCAAAATCCGAGAAGGAAGTAAAACAAAAAACAAAAAATGATTCGTTTATTAGTTGGACTTCTGACCTTTTCCCACCACCGGAAAGTCTTTAGAGTTTGAGCCTAAGTTAAATGACAAGCATTACCCATCGGAAAGAATCACAACAGTAAATAAGAGAGCCCTTTAGTTTATATACTGAACCAAATGAAAAAAAAAAACAAAAAAAAACTGAGACAAAAAAACCAGCCAAAAGGAGAAAACAACCTCTTTGGACTCACATTGTTCTTCAAGAATCATAGCTTCCTTTCAAGGTAAGGGTCTCGAGGAGGAGTACGAGGAGTAGTCGGGACCAGGTACTCTGAAACATCCGTCACATAAGTCTTGAGCCTAGACGAGGTTCGTGTGAGCCACCCGGCGTCTGTCTGCTCCATCTCACTCTCCATCTTCTTCCTCATCTCTTCCTCTTCCAGCATTCTGATCCTTCTCTCACCCATATACTTCCTCACAGCTTCCGCACCTTCCTTGACCACTTCCTCGGGCGGTGTCACGAGCGGGTTCTGGTCAAGGTTCAGTTTGGTCAAGCTCTCGAGCGTGCCGAAAGTGTCTGGGAGGGCGTGGATTTGGTTGTTGCTCAAGTCGAGTTCTTGGAGGCTTATGAGATCCCCGAACTCGGAAGGAAGTTCCTGGAGATCGCTGAAGTTGCTGCTCAGGTTCAAGTACTCGAGGTTCGTGAGCAACACGAAAGAATCAGGAAGACCGTGCAGTTCGTTGAAGTGGGCGTCGAGGTACTTGAGCGACCTCATTTCGCCTATACTGGTTGGGAAGGATCGGATCTTGTTATACTGGATCAAGAGCTTTTCCAGATTCGTTAGCTCGGATCCGATGTTGGTTGGTAAGTAGGTGAGACGGTTAAAGCTCACGTCCAAGATAACCAACGACCTGTGATTTTCAATTGTAAAAATGGTTAAAACTGATAAAGAAAGAAAAAAACAAACAAGAAGAAGTTAAAGCTATTGCGTACGTACCCACAACGGCAGATGGAATCAGGCAAAGCAGTGAGCTTGTTAGTCGAGACATTCAGGATTTTCAGATTGGATAGTAGACCGATGGAATCAGGTAATGTCTCCAGAAGATTCCCGGAGACATCCAATTCAACAAGACTTTGCAATCCAGCTATTGAATCAGGAATCGCCTGTTGCACATAGACCTCAGTCAGGTAAGTCACATGAGACTCAGCAACTGAATCTTCAATCAAATCACTAAGAAGAAATCAAGAAAAACTAATGCGGCTCGAGCCCTTAAACCATCCTCAGAACAATCAAGAAATTATCAGCAGCAATCACTTATAGGACACAAGTTTTCGACTTTCTATGACTCATATTCCTTTGAAGAATGCTGTTACAAAGATGCAGAACCAAAACAAGCATACACGCATAAACTATTTCAATAACATCAAACTAGAAATCATTGCTATCCAAATCCAAAACGCAGAACCAAAACAAGCACACGCACATGCCGTAATCTCTTCGAATCACATCAGACTAGTCATGAGTGATAGATACATAATCTCTTTGAATCACATCAGAAAAGGCATTGTTTTTCTCACCAAAGATTAACAAAACGAAAAGCCAGAACCAAATGTTACGAGTAGTCTTTGTGATCCCTATTTTACAAGCTTAGCTAAAGCGATTGCTGAATCAACCATTGTATCATACCCAACGAGTTTAAGATTAAGCTACAGCAAAGATCTACCAGATTCTCAAACCAATAAGATCCTAAATCAGAATGAGCTAACAATCTAGCGAATTCGTGAATTCGAATTTGGGATTATAAGAGCTGACCTCGAGCTTATTGTCAGAGAGGTTAAGAACGAGCAATCCTTGAATCCGGCCAAATGCTTCAGGGAGCAATCTCAGTTTCCTCCCAGACAAATCGATGCGATCCACCGGATTAGCCGACGCGTGTTGCAGTATCCCCACAACCTCCTCATTGACCTCCACCTCCGCGACGCTATCCTCATCCGCCGCCGCATTCTTCTCGGCGTGTTCGTAAATCCTCACCAGCCTCTCCTCCGCTTCCTTCAACAGCTTCTCGTACGAAGCGTGAACCTCGTCCAATTTCAAAATCGACTCACACCACGTCTTCTCCTGATCCATCTCCTGTCTCCTCTTCTCGTCCTTGGCCGCCGCTTCGTTGAGCGCGATGTCCTCGAACGATTCGGATAAGGACGCCACGATCTCCGAGAGCTTGGCACGGGCCTTGTCGACGGTCTCGTGATCGGGCCTGGGTCCTAGGGTTCGGAGGATGGATCGGGTCTCGGCGACGTCAGAGATCGCACCGGTCATGGAGGCTAGAACGCCAGGTTGAGCCAAATGAGGCATCTGAGTGACGATCTCGATCGAGGACGGTGGTTGCTCGACATCGAAGGCAGGAGCGGAGGAGGATGATGAAGGGGAAGAGGATCTGCCGGTGAAGGAAGGGAGACGAGCCAAGACGTAGGAGAGGACAGGGAATTTCTTAGGGTTGGGCTCCGTCGCCATTGTTGTATGAAGATTGGATCTGAATCGAATGGATGATCGATGAAGATGATGAATGATTGGGTTATATGTTTTGATTCCAGCCGCGAAGTGGTGAGTTTGTCTCTCCTCGTTTGCTTGCGTTTGCCTTTGCCTTCTCGGTGCTCTTTTGTTGTTAAGTTGACACGTGTAAGCTAAATGTTTGATAACCTCGTATAAAGAAGACGGTTCAAGATGGATTGATTTTCCGACTTAGAGAAATTGCTACAAAAAAAATTTACTATGTGTGGGACACAAATCCCACACCCAAATATTTAGAGTGAATGAAGAGATGAAAAAGACATAAGTAGAAATCTCACAATAAACCAAACAAGAATAAGAATTAAGAACACTCAAATGGATTTCTATTGATCAGAAAAGTGATTACAGAAAATATTCGAAATGTGATAGTTTGATAAACAAGAGCATACAAGAGAATAGTTCAACGAGTAAAAAAGATATGTCAAAGATGAGTTTTCCGTCGGGTTCATATTTCTTTTATATAAGCTGTTGGACTTCTAACTGCTGCGTGGATATCGGAGATCTTTAACACATGTGTTCCAGATTTTGTGAGATCCCTTCGAACTATCTTGTTACGATCTCCGGTTTTGACTCAACGTTCAACGAGCCGTTATGCAGCTAGACGAGATAATTGGAGCTTTCGATGAATGGGCTTCCGACAAACGAACTCTAAATAAGCCCTTATTAAATCTTAATATAAACCAGATTTAGGTGCTAAATCTAACTTCAGCACTATGTAAATTCTGTTTAAACAAGCTTGGTTTATTCATGATTTTTTTATCCTTGTAACCATACACTCTGGTACCTTTTGCTCTTTTTTGAGCTTATAAAATCCAACACATTCAGTGAAAAAAAAAGGGCTTATCATCGAAAACATACACCTATATCAGTTTCCGTTTCATTGGTACCTGTTTCCAGTTATTAGCAAGAAAATGTCTCAGTAATGTAAATATGTAATACGGAAGAGAGAAAAAATAAAATGTGAACCATAACATAACATAGTCGTCATAACCCAAATTGAAGAGAACTCCATTAACAATAATTTGATGGTAATGATGTCTCACTTGCTGTTTTCTCTCTTCGTTCCTATTGTAATATTTTATTTTGTGGTCTATGTATTGAGAAATTTAATAATTAATTTGGTTATCTATTTCATTAAAATACATTTATCTGTTTGATATCTTATGAAGCACTTTTCTAAAAGGCGTTTAAAGCGGTAATGATTATCTTCTCAACGCATAGGCATTTATATACTAGGCATTCATATATGTAAGGATTTTATCTAAATTTTTATTTATAACTTAACAAAATTCATCTTTTATGGCTATTTTTATTTAAAATGAATATATTATATTTTTTATATTTTAGTTGTAATACCCTTTAAATTTTTCGACTGTATTTGAACTTAATGTATAATATATAAATTTATTTCGTAAACTTCAAAAATGTCTAGAAATTGCCTAGATCCCAATTAGATGTTTTAAGAGTTAGGCATTGGTTCACTGTCCGCTTAACGGCTAGCGTTTTCTTGAATACGATGCTACTTGAAGAAAAAACATGGGAAAATATCAAGGACATTAAACAAGTCTTTCGAACTTCCTAGAATAATGCACTAACTGACATATATGGGTAGGCCCGGCAGAGAGAAGGCATAGCCCACCCCTAGAGACGGTCGGAGCCGTATATACCCAATGTGTTTGATAACTATGAGACAAAGTTACAAAACACAATAAACAGCCCAAAAGGTTCGAATTTTCCATTGTCAAAGTTTTTATGCTAGTAAGTTAAAAGAAACAGTAAGAGAAAAACCGCTCTAGATGATATCGACCGTTTACCAACTTTCAGGGCTCATGTTGGTCTCTCGAGTTAACCCATTTTGGACACATATAACCACCAGTTGAGTACATGTTGCATTTATTATATTTAAATAAACTTTAGTTTGAGAATCCAAGTCTAGTAAAGATTTGAATAAAAGCAAGTTGTATCCACAAGCTAAAATAAGCCAAACCCAAAGTCAATCACTTTTGGAGTTATGTTGTACGAACAGTCACTGCTTTGTCATCTCATAGACTCAATACTCTTAAACATTGACTTTTTATTTTTCTATTTGATTGACAAAACCATTTTGCATTGTTTTTCATTGATCTTCGAATCGAACTCACATTGCTTATAACTGTATAACAGAGTAAGTATACCAATTTGAATTTGAGTTTTGTTGGCCATCGCAATTAATATACAAACTGTGAATCATTCAAAAAAAGATAAGATTCAATGGATCAACAGTTAAAACGGAAAAGAACTGAATACATACGGCTAAAACTCTTTTTATTTTTCTTCTAAATTTGGAAACAAAAGAATACCAAATTGAACACACCTTCACATGATGTGAAAGATAGGCAACCATAAATTATTTAATATACTGAAAACATTTTGATAACCTCACATGCATTTGGTCGTTCTTTAACAACATAAAAAGACATAAACTATATCTATTAGATCGGATCAGCATAAATGACGTATTTAGCTGACGTAACAGCTCTCCTCTCTAGTTTGTACATTGCACCCTCTATAATAGCCAAAGCCTGTGTGAACAATAACTAAACAGAGACAAGTACAACAACAACAACAATGAAGACTAGAGAAACAAAACCAGTGATCTTTCTCTTTACTTTCCCTTTACAAGGTCACTTAAACCCAAATTTTCAGCTAGCCAACATCTTGTTCAACAGAGGCTTCTCCATCACTGTGATCCACACTGAGTTTAACTCTCCAAACACTTCCGATTTCCCTCACTTCACTTTCGTTTCCATACCCGACGGCTTGTCTGAATCCGAAGCCAACTATACCGATGTCATCGACCTTCTCCATGTCCTCAATTCCAAGTGTGTTGCTCCTTTTGGTGATTGCTTAAAAAGGCTTTTGTCTGAAGAACCAACTTCTGCTTGTGTGATTGTTGATGCTCTTTGGTACTTCACATACGATTTAACCGAGAAATTCGGTATCCCGAGGATCATTAACCGGACGGTTAACCTCTCAGCTTTCGTCGCTTTCTCAAAGTTTCATGTTTTACGAGAGAAAGGGTATCTTTCTCTACAAGGTATGTATACAAATCCAGTTTGAGATTTTTCTCTATTTGCTTCACTTGCGTTGACTTTTTCTTCTCTCTCTCCATGGCAGAGTCTCACGCAGACTCACCGGTTCCTGAGCTTCCGTGTCTTAGAATGAAAGATCTTCCATGGTTCCAGACAGAAGATCCAAGATCAGGAGATAAACTACAGAGAGGTGTGATGAAGTCACTGAAGTCATCCTCAGGGATCGTATTCAACGTAATCGAAGATCTTGAAACAGAGCAGCTTAAAGAATCCCTCAAAGCATTCCCGGTTCCAATGTTCTGTATCGGACCCTTTCACAGGCGCGTTGCAGCTTCATCGAATAGCTTACTTACACAAGACATGACCTGTCTCTCCTGGCTAGACAAGCAAGAACCAAGATCCGTAATCTACGCAAGTCTTGGAAGCATTGCCTCCATCGACGAATCTGAGTTCTTGGAGATTGCTTGGGGTCTAAGAAACAGCGAGCAGCCTTTTCTATGGGTGGTAAGACCAGGTTCCATCAAAGGCACAGAGTGGATTGAGATTCTACCTAAAGGGTTCATCGAGAGCCTCGAGGGTAAAGGTAAAATCGTGAAATGGGCACCTCAGATTGAGGTTTTAGCTCACAGAGCAACAGGTGGTTTCTTGACACACTGTGGATGGAACTCGACGATTGAGAGCATATGTGAAGCTGTACCGATGATATGCAAACCTTCTTTTGGAGACCAAAGGGTCAATGCTAGATACATCAGCGATGTTTGGAAGATCGGTCTGCATTTGGAGAACAAGACTGAGAGGCTGGTGATCGAAAACGCTGTTAGAACGCTGTTGACTAGCTCACAAGGAGAAGAGATCCGCAAGAGGATCATGCCGATGAAGGAAACTGCTGAAAAATGCCTTAAGCTTGGAGGTTCTTCATATCGGAATCTCGAAAGCTTGATTGCTTACATATTATCTTTCTAAAGAATTGGTGTTCTTCTCCACATGTCCAAATTTGCTTTCTTTTGATTTTATCTGCCTTTTCCTAAAATAAGAAACATAATCTTCTTGTATATCGTTTGACCAGAAAACAATAAAAATCTTCTTGTATATCATTTGAAAAAAGTTCATTTTACAACCTTTACCGTATATATGTAATTTTTTTTTTTTCCAGAGATAATGATTCTGTGGTTTAAGAGAGATTGTTCCTATGAAATCTACTGTAAATACAAATGATTAAGATATTGATCAATTTGGTTTAAGAGATGTGAAATCCAATCTAAATACAAGGTTATATATTATTTACTACAACTTGACTGCTATTAAATAATATTTTTTTAATAAACTTCTAGTATATATATTAGTGACATGAAATTTTGATTACAAAATTAAAAAATAGCCTGCGCCATATTTTATACCCGCTTTTAACTCTTTTTTTTTTTGGAGAGTATATCAACATACATATATACCACAATTAGTTAGGCTATATAAATCGACAAAAATTGAAAAGTTAACACAAAACCCTAAGTTTTATTTTCTCTGTACCATCATCTACCATGATGAAGCATTGCCTTGAGCAGCACGCGAGGCATATTCTCGCTCACGGTAGCAGGAATCGATTCTTCTCCTCCTACACAACCAGAACGTTATCGTCTCTGGCGACGAACCAAACTCTGCAGAGTCGTATCGAGTCGGCGATACATCAGAAAGCAGATATCAGTACGGCGCTTGAACAATGGCGAAAACAAGAAGGCAATCAATCGAATCCTTCGCTTGTGAGAGGTATCGTCGAGAAGCTTCGCGACTCCCAGAAATTTCGCCATGCCCTAGAGGTATCAGACTGGATGATAAAACAAAACATCTGCAAGCTCGTCCCGGAAGATTTCGCAGCTAGGTTTCATCTGATCGAGAAAGTTTTAGGTTTGGAAGAAGCAGAGAAGTTCTTCGAGAGCGTCCCGAAGAATCTGAGAGGCGAGTCCATCTACACCGCTCTGTTAAACAGCTACGAGAAACGTTCAGGAAGAGAAGCTTTAGATAAAGCAGAATCTACTTTCAAGAAGATGAAGGAGCTAGGTTTGTTGTTGAGATCGTCACCGTACAACTCGATGACGTCGCTCTACAGCTCTTTTGAAAAAATTGATAAGGTCGATGAGATTCTGCTAGAGATGAAGGAGAGCGAGATTGAGTATGATAGTGTCACAGTGAACAACGCTTTGAGAGTGTACGCTGCTGTGTCTGACATCAAGACAATGGAGAAGTTTCTTGCTGATTGGGAAGAGAAGGCAACGATTGAGTGGCGCACAAGACTCGACATGGCAAAGGCTTATCTGAGAGATGGTTCAAAGGAAAAGGCGAAAGAGATGCTTATCAAAACAGAGGAACTGAAGGATCATACAAACCTCTATGAGGAACTCATGAAGATATATGGTGAAGTGGGAGAGAGAGAAGATGTTTACCGTATATGGAACCTTTACAAGAAGACAAGAGAGCAGAGCAACGAAGGGTTTATTGCTTTGATTGAATCTCTCTTGAAGCTTGATGATGTAGAAGGAGCAGAGGAGATTTACAACAATGAATGGGAGCGGTCTGGTCTTGAGTTCGACGTCCGACTCCCAGTAATGCTGGCGAATGGTTACCGTGAAAAGGGGATGGTGGAGAAGGCAGATGAGCTGCTGAACAAGAAGACTATGAGGAACATACGATTGGTTAGACCAGTCACACCGCTGCTGCAAGAACTGGGAGCAAAAGGGAAGGTCTCAGACTTGAGAGACCTCATCAAGAGTCTTATTGATTCACATCAGTTTTCTAAAGCACTTGAGGCAACCAAGTGGGTGGATGAAAGAAGAATGTTTAATCTTGTTCCAGAAGATTATGTAGTGAGGCTTCATGTGATTGAGAAGGTGTTGGGTTTGGAAGAAGCAGAGAAGTATTTCGAAACAAGCATCCCGGAGAAGATGAAGGATTGCTCCGTCTACTTGACACTCTTAAACTGTTACACGAGATCTCACAAAACCCTAAACAAGGCCGAGGCCGTTTTCGAGGTGATGGAGGGTCTAGGGTTTCTCTCAAAACTCTCCCCGTTCAACTCCATGATATCACTCTACAGTCAGCTAGGAAGAAGAAGTGAGGTCGAGAATCTTGTGAAGAAGATGAAGGAGAGGAACGTAGAGCCTGATAGTGTCACGTTAAACAACGTTTTGAGGTTATACGCAGAAGAAACAGACATTGAGGCGATGGAGAAGTACAAGATTGATGATGCTGATAAGCTTGAAGTGAGGACGACGGTTGCGATGGGAAAGGCTTACGAGAGAGAAGGGATGCTAACAAAGGCGATAGAGATAACAAGGAGTAAAAAAGAAGCTCACCGTCTGTGGAACGAGTACAAGAAGAAACCTGAAAGGGAAGAGAGTGAAAGAGAGATGATTAGCTCTTTGTTGAAGCTAGGCGATGTAAAAGGAGCAGAGGAGGTCTATGGAGAGTGGGAACCAGAAGGACCAAAGTTGGATGCTCGAATACCGGGTTTGCTCATCTCTCGTTATTACGAGGAGAACGATGAAAAGAAGGTAAGAGAGGTGGTGGATTCGATTAGGAAGATGCGGAAGCGGATGCATGTTAACATGTTCACGCAAGGTTTGGTCGATATTGGACCCTCGGTGGTCTTTCTTGGGGCAGTTATGGCCTTTGGTTATAAGTTTGTATTCTAATATTGACAAAGATGTTTATGGAACGTTGTTTCCATCATTCCATGTTGGGGACCGTGATTCTCGCGCCTACGTCATGGTTTTTTTACTGTTGGTTTTTTATCTAGCACAACTTGTTAAATTTGAGCTTACTAGTCTTTTTTTACTGTTGGTTTTCATCGGTTCGAAATTTTGTTCCATGGTTTTTATTTGTTTCAGTAAGGAAAGAATGAGTTTTCTGTCTATCTTTCATTTCAAAATCAAGAATGTGAAGCATAGATTGCTTAGCGTGTAGGAGAAGTAACAACGTCCGTTTCCTCTAAATTCATTTGTTTTTTTTTTAATTGTTTACTTTCGCCGGCAACACCGTAGGAGAATTTGGTATTGTAACTACAAATACTAAACCAAATCCCACAGAACCGGAAAACCTATGAAAATGGAGGATGAGAAAACCGAACCAAAATTCCACAAAACAAACCACTAAACCAGGACTGGTACATTAACCGGAGTTAACCCTTAAATATCGATAAATCCGACTAAAATTTGTTTAAACTCTGGGTTCTATTTACCCAATAATAATTAATTAGGCCATAATTTCGAGAAGCTTAGCCGCGTTTATCTTGTAATCCTTGCGAGATAAGTTCAAAATCGCAGTTAGTTCACTATATATATATAAATCCATTAAATTGAAAAGAGTTGGCACAAAACCCTAACTACTCTTCTCTCTATCATCATCATCGTCACCGGGCATGAGCATGATGATGCGGCATAATCTTCCGCAACACGCAAAGCGTGTTCTCGCACACAGTAGCAGGAATCGACTCTTCTGCTCCTGCGCAAACGGAACCCTAACGTCTCCGGCGACGAGCTTTACTCTTCAAAGTCGTATCGAGACGGCTTCAGATCGAAAAGCAGTGCTTGAGCAATGGCGACAACAACAAGGGAACAAACTGAATCCTTCACTAGTGAGAGGAACCATCGAGAAGCTCCGCGATTCCCAAAAATATCGCCAAGCCCTAGATGTATCAAACTGGATGATTGAACATAACATCTGCAGTTTCGTCCCGGAAGATTACGCAGCTAGGTTTCATCTGATCGACAACGTTCTAGGTTTGGAAGAAGCGGAGAAGTTCTTGGAGAGCGTCCCGGAGAATCTGAGAGGCGAGTCTCTCTACACCGCTCTGTTAAACAGCTACGCAACACGATCGGGAAGAAAAGCTTTGGATAAAGCCGAACCTGCTTTCAAGAAGATGAGGGAGCTAGGTTTGCTCTTGAGAGTATCACCGTACAGCTCCATGACGTCTCTCTACAGATCTATCGGAAACAGAGAAAAGGTCGATGAGATTCTCCGAGAGATGGAGGAGAGCGAGATTGAGTTTGATAGTCTCACAGTGAACAGCGCTTTGCGAGTGTACGCCGCTGTATCTGACGTAGCGACGATGGAGAAGTTTCTTGCTGATTGGGAAAAGAATGCAACGCTTGAGTGGCACACAAGACTCGACATGGCAAAGGCTTATCTTAGAGAGGGAATTTTGCGAGATGCCAAAGAGATGCTTCGTAGAACAGAGAAGTTGAATGATCCCGAGTCCTATGAGGAGCTCATGAGGCTATATGGTGAAGTAGGAAAGAGAGAAGATGTTTACCGTATATGGGACAAGTACAAGGAGACAAGACCGCTGAGCAACGAAGGGTTTCGAGCTATGATCGGTTCTCTTTTGAAGTTTGATGATATCAAAGGAGCAGAGAATATTTTTGGCGTCTGGAGGGAGTGCTCATCAGGTCTTGAGTTTGATGCTCGAATCCCAACATTGTTGGCGTCTCATTACCGCGAAAAGGGAATGGTTAATAAGGCGTATAAGCTGATGAACAAGACTATGAGCAACAGAGAATTCGCTAGACCAATCACGCCGTTTCTTGAAGAATGGGGGAAAAGGACTAATCCGTCGGATTTGAGAGATCTCATCAAGAGTCTTATTGATTCGAATCAGTTGTCGAAAGCACTTGAGGCATCAACATGGATGGGTGAGAAAACGGTGATTAACCTCTTTCCAGAAGAGTATGCAGCAAGGCTTCACACGATTGAGAATGTGTTGGGTTTGAAGGAAGCAGAGAAGTTCTTTGAAAGAAGCATCCCTGAAGATATGAAGGATGAATCTGTCTACACCTCTCTCTTAAGCTCTTACTCGAAATATGTCAAGACTCTAAATAAAGCAGAAGCCACTTTCAAGAAGATGGGAGATCTCGGGTTCCTCTCAAGTCCTTCCCCATACAACTCGATGATATCTCTCTACAGCCAGCTAGGAAGAAGAAGTGAGGTCGAGAGTCTTGTAAGGAAGATGAAGGAGAAGAACATGGAGCCGGATAATGTCGGGATGAACAACGTTTTGAGGTTATACGCGGATGAAACGAACATAGGGGCGATGGAGAAGTATAAGATTGATGCTGATAAGCTTGAAGAGAGGACGGCGGTTGCGATGGGAAAGGCTTACGAGAGAGCAGGGATGCTAACAAAGGCGATGGAGATAACAAGGAGTAGAGAAGAAGTTTACCGTCTATGGAACGAGTACAAGGAGAAGGAAGAGACTGGGAATGAAGGATATCGAAGTGTGATTAGCTCTTTGTTGAGGCTGGATGATGTGAAAGGAGCAGAGGAGGTATATGGAGAATGGGAACAAGAAGGACCCGAGTTTGATAGTCGAATACAGGCTTTGCTCATCTCTCGTTATTGCGAGGAAAATGATGAAAAGAAGGTAAGAGTGCTTGTGGATTCAAGTAGAAAGAAGAGGAAGCAGATGGAATTTGACATGTTGGTGGAAAAAACTAATGGTACTGTCCTCTTTGTTGGATTTATGGCTTCAATGGCTTCGATAGTACTAGTGCCAGGTCTATTGCTCAGCGTTTTATTACACCTTTAGTATGTCTACTAGATGCCTAGATGAGCATACTGGGATTTCTTCACAATTTTGTTTTTGATTTTTATGGGTTTTTACAATATTTTAAAATTTATACTTCGCATAGTTGATATACAATTATATTATCAAAATAAATCAACAACTTCATTAGAGTACATATTTTCCCTTCATATTAATTCATGTCAAATATGTTTGTTGTGATTGTTGTCAAACGTCAATAACCTTTGTTATCCGCAAATGCTCGATTGCGGATAGTAGCGAGGTGAACCAATCAACACCATGTTTGAATCTTTTAACATTTGATAGATATGGACAATAACATGGTGTTTATTTTTTTTCTAATTTTTTTTTTCGAGTATCCAACAGAACAACTCATTCCAATGATAAAAAATCAGAGATATCAAAATAGAACAGTTTCAAACTCCAGTGAAAATTAGAGATATCAACCACCCAACATTAAAAGATCCTAACAAAACCATGCATACATGAGGATATATGTTTTTTTCCGCGAAGTTCTTATGCTTATGTTTTATACCCTTGGAGATTATTCCAGAACATTGGTCGGTCTCTTTGAAACTTCAATTATTATTGCTGCTCTACAATCAGCTGCTGCTTAAGCTTGTTTACTATATCTCAATGCTGGTTTTGAGTATATATATGTATACAAAGACTAGAAGCTTGCCAAAACATGACTTGCTCATACATTCATTCAAGTGCCATGTTGATAAACTAGAAATAGGTCTTTTCTCTACTGCAAATTATCAGTGATGAAGATTGTAATATAAAGGATTCGAAATCCAGAGGACCAGCGTTACACTGTGAAACTAGGAGATTTAAAACAGAGCTAAGACAAAGATGATTGGTTTTAGTAACAGGTAACGAATGTAAACGATGATGTAATTCAATTAAACAGGGACTAGACCAAGGCAATTCGCAGAGATTCACGGTTAACAACCAAACAACTATTCAGGGCACAGATGATGAACAGGTCTCGAACTCAAACAAAATATGTCAATTCACTTTCGCGATAATGACAACTTTATCTAACAACCTAGATGTCTAAACTGTCGTTTGAATCTAGCAATTGATGACAAGCAATGCGCACAGGTTCGATAAGTTCACGAATCGCCTTAGCATCAACTTTCGCAGGCTAAGGACGATTCGCTCACCACAGTTCGTTCTAACAACCTATTGCACTTTTGATGAACAGGTAATCTGAGATCAGAGATCGAGTGATCAGATCGATCTAAGCAGTAATGCAACAATGGCGAAGACAGTATTAAAGCCCTATCTGTATTCAGTCAAGTTAACACATGAATCCCTTTGAAAAACCTAGATCTAGCAGGGTGACTACTCAGACATAACGAAACAGCAAACAATACTGAATGAATGTCATTGAATCAAATAGAAAATAGCAAACAAGGGTTCAGAAATCTTCTCCAAACTGTGAAAAACAGAGGTTCGATCTCTTCTCCCTCGGAAACAATGAAAACAGTGTAAACTCTGAAAAACGGCGTAGCCTAAACAATGGCTAAAGATAGGTCTAAATAGCTCCGGGGTCGACTTCGGTTCAATCCGGTTCGCTGTGGTTCGATCAAGTCGGTTTGCACCAAGTAGATCGAACGGCTGTGATATCATCTGACCGGGATTGATCGAACGGCTGAACAGACGGATCGATCGAGCTGGCTTGCTCTGCATGGGATCGATCGAGTGGTGAAGCACGCATGGGATCGATCGAGCTCGTAGGCTGCAGCAGGTCGATCGATCACCTCTCAGTATGAGCTCGATCGAACTGTCCCTCTTGTGGGTCGATCGAGTCTTGTGGCTTAGGGCTTCGATCGAGCTACTTTGCTCCGTTTTGCCTGCTTTCGCCTGTTGTTGGTCCATGTGACCAAAGCTCTCCCTGGAACGTCTTTAGACCTGAAAAGACTCGATAAAGACTAGAAAGACTCGATAAAACTCGTGAAAACAAGTGTTAGAATGCGTCAAATACGCAAGATATCAACTCCCCCGGACTTGGTCTTTTGCTTGCCCTCAAGCAAACATAAATTCCAAGAATAGGGAAGAAGTTTGAAAACGCGGGAACTCACAAATCATCAGCAACCATACCCCGAAGGATCATCAGTAGACCTCAAAGGACAAGGTTCGGTCAGTGCATAATCACTGTAGTCCCCTTGAAGTCTCGCATTCCTGATCCCGTGATGAACCTCCATCCTGCAGAAACTCAAGCTACACATTGGTTAACTCTCTACATTCATTAAATTGGCGTGGACCTCTCATCAAGAACATCATACAGGGTCGACGGTGTTGGGTATCAAAAGGCCTGTTTTTGGTGAGGTTAAAGTGTTTAAGGGTTACCAGATACGCCGGAGGATGCATGATATCGCGCAAAACAGCAAGAGAGAATGGTTCTGTTGATAGCCACATTTCCCAACCACTTCACTCTTCAACTCCTTGTATGTTGGATTTTATCCAGAACAGCTCTAACTCCCAATTCGCCTTGATCGGTGGTGTTCCTTGGAGGTATTCGGTCGAGCTTACATTTTATTGAACCACTAGTTCCTTTCCTCAAGTTTTTCTGATTTTTTTTTTTTTTTTTTTTTTTTAGGGGAACTAGTGTCAATGGCTCGTAAATGTTACCGTTTATTCGTGCTTCTCCAAGGAACGACCATCAGTTCGATCGATTCAGGCTCCATACTCCACCATCACTTCCCATTCTCAGTGTTGTAGATGAACACTCGTCTTGAATGTGGTTGGGAAGCTGTGTCGAACCTTTCTCTCCGACGTTTTTGCACATATCTGCATATATCAGAAAGAAGGTAAGGCTCAAGGTGGGGTACCAACCAAAGATGGGCTGGCCACTCAGGATCAACAGAGAGTGGTAAAATGAATAAGAAGTCCTGAGTGTATGGTCCGTTTCCCTGCTATGACATTCCGAATGAGAGGTAATTGATGTCAGATTAGTGGTCCAATAGCATTAGAGTCAACCAAATGTTTCACCAAAATCTCTGCAAAACGAAAATTCCTGGGGGAAGTCTGACCAAAAGGGTAATCCAGCTTTTTACACATAACAAACCCTGCAAAATTGGTCACTAGATAGAAAGAATTCAAGATCACAAATGGTTTCATCAGATAAGTTTATTCCCAACAAGTTTTTGACTCAATAAAACCTGACTCAAAGAAAACATCAAAATGACTCAAGGTGAAACAGAAAACAAAAGAAAGAAAAAGACGTTAGTAAACACAAAGACCCTCCCCCGGACTTACTTCACACCGACCCGGTGTGAAAAGAAACCAAGGAGAGAGTTAAACAGACTCAATAAAAGAAAAAGAAAAGGGAAAATGGAATGATACAGTGGTGGTGGTCGGTCGAGTGGCGTCAGGAGAGAGCATCAGCGGCGTCCGTAGATGAAGTCGTCGAGATCCTCCTGCATGCTCTCCTGCGTGTAAGTAGGGACGGTGGTAGGCGCAGCTCGCTCGGTGGTGTAAGGCACGTACTGGTCCGGCGGAGCTCTCGGCGGTGTGTGGTCTGTCGGCGCTGTCGGCCTCGAGTAGAGCTGCATCGCCTGAATGGCAAGTCTGCGTCAGCTCCTGCGCCTGATGGTCTCGCTGTCTGCGGCTCTCCAAGCGCCTCTTCCGCTGCTGTCGCGGCTCGAAGGAAGAGTGTCGTGGTGGCTCAGGAGGTAGTGGTCGTCCGCCGGTGGTGTCGTGGTCTGGCTCGTCGTCGTCCTCAGAGGGGATCGCCTGGCGTGGACCGACTGCGGTCCTGTGGACACCTCCTGAAGCTGAGGCAACACAACTCAGCTTGTCCTGCATGGCACGGATCTGATCGGCCATCTTCTTCACCTTGCTCTTGAGCTTGCTGGTGATCTTGTCCTGCGCCTTGTTCCACCGCTGAAGAATGCCTATGTGCTGGTGAGCCGCCTTCACCCGGCGGTCTGTCTGGCGGTGGTGGCGTAACCGGAAGTGCAGTGCTCGAGCTCGTCCGTCTGCGTGGTGTCAAGCTCGTGAGACGGATCGCCGCGGTGTGTGGTCGCCTGAGGTGTGGCGTAGTCTCTGGCGGTCGGTCGATCTCCGGTGTAGAGAGCAGACTGAGGTGGGTTGAACTCGATGTTGGACCCTCCTCTGATCGTCGTCCAGCTGGGGCTGGGGAGCAACATGAGGGAAGCGCCGAGCTGAACGTGGGTAACTGGTACAGGAGTCGGCTGGCGTCTGACGTCTTCTGCAAGAAGACGCTGTTCCTCAGGTACTCGAGATCGAGCCCTTCGGGTGGTGCGACCTCGTCCTCTCTGTCAGGTGTAAAGCCGACGGCGCGTAGAAGAGGTGTGACCAAGCCACCCATCCGCAGTGTGCACTTGTGCCGGATGCTCCTGTTCCTCGACGCCCAGTCCCGGTAAGAGCGGAGCTGGCTAACAAGTGCGAGCGTGATGCCTCCGTGCGACCTGCTGCCTCGGAGCTGGGTCCCGTTGATCAGTCTCAACGGGATGCCTGTGAGTGCCACGTCGATCATGGCCATCTCTGTCTCTGTGACGTTCCCGGTGGCCTTCGGGAAAAGAGCGTGTTGGCGATCGCCTTGTGGAAGTAGCGGATCGGCGGGCTCCTGATGTGAGCGGACTTCGCACTTGAGGAGAAGTACTCCCCAAATGCGATCGTCCCCCAAAGTGCGGACATCTTGTCACGGTCGACGTCGAGGCCTAGACGGTTGCCTTGCGGCAGAAAAGAGCTCGGTCGATCTCCCTGTATGAGAGATGGTGTCTCTGTCCAGTGGCCCAGAAGGTGATGTAGTCGTCACTGCCGTCAGGTGTGGTCTTGCCGTCGAGGCAGGGCTCGTGTGTGAGTGTGGCAAGAAAAGGCAAGTCGCCTTCCGGTAAGCCTCGTGCTGCTGGAACATAACTCGGCCGATCCCCAGGTTGTGGAACATCTCGTCGATGTCCTCGTCGAAGCGGAGCGTCTGCATCGTGCCTCTGTCGGGATACCGCGTCCCGGCAAACTTCATTTCGAGGAGGGTGCGGAGACGCTGCATCTCGATCTCCGTGACAGTGTCCTCGGTCTCGTCGTCTCCCAGGGTCTCAGGAAAAGGGGCATCCTGCATCGTCGAGTCCTCCACGAAGTCGTCGTTGGGCTCGACGACGGGTCTCTTCCCCCGCGCTATCTCCTCTCGGCGGTGTGAGGATCCGACATCTCCGCGGTTCCTTTTGCCTCGCATATTTGGAATAAGGTCGAGTAATGGTGAGGTTGAGGTTGAACGATAAGGAGGTGAGAAGATTGTGGCCGGTGAAAGTGATGGTTAAAAAAATGTGGCGAGTGATGAATGAGAGAGACGAGCGAGATGAGAAGGTGAGTGAGAGATGAAATAGGTATGTAAACTAAATATCCTAAAATTATATGGAATAGTTATATAAACTCCTATTTAAAAAAATCTATTAGTACATGTAATAGGTATGTAAACTAAATATCCTAAAACTGTATGAAATTGGTTACATGAACCCCCTATAAAAAGAGAGCTACTGTAGTCTCTTTTTCTCATTCACAAACTCATCAAAGCAAATTCAGAAAATCTCTTTGATTCTCTTTCTCTAATTTCAAAATCATGTCTTTGAAAGTTCAAGAGAACAGTGGAGATTATTTGACTCTAGGTCAATTGGATCGAAATTAAAATTATTTGAATAAAATCCTATTAGTACATTAGGAAAAATCAGAAAACAGGAAACAAACAATTAAAAAGAAAAAATATTACATCCATTATGAGAAGTAAAGAAAAAACATAATTCTATTACGAAAAGGAAAAAAAACGAAAATCAGAAAAACATGAAGAAATAATTAAAAAATGTTACATCCAATAAGAAAAGGAATAAAAAAACATATTCCCATTACGAAAATGAAAAAAAAAACAATATATAACAAGCTATATTTTTTAAGTTTCTTTCTCATTAAGAAATAAAATTCATGTCTTTAAAAGTTAAAGATATCAATGAAGAATACTTAACTTTAGATCGATACATGTGTCTAATATTTGATGAAGTGATGACATGTGTCAACACAAGAAAATTGGAAAAATGTAGTAACATAAATAAATAAACTAACAAAATAATATTAAAACAACTAACTAATAATGAAAATGAAAATTTATAATGGTCAGAGGCAAAAACGAAATTGAAAAAGAAACAATATAAATAGAAAACTAACAAAATAATTATTAAGGAACTAAATAATATTAAAAAAGAAAATTTTATAATGGACTGATCTTCTAATATTAAATAGTTTAATTTTCCATGTTTTGTTAGGTAAAAAAATATTAAAAATAAAGATTTCATCATGGAATAATCAAAGTTTCATAAAATAATGAGTCGATTAGATTTAGACACATGTAAATCTTTCTATTTCATATCATGAATTCAAAATAAAAATGTAAAAGACTACATATCTTTATTTAGAGATTTGTTATCGGGTTTTTAATATTATTTTCTTATTTTTAAAATTGATCAAATTTTGTTTAATATTCTTCCGTGATTTAAAAAAATAAAAATAAATAAACCCGCGTATACGCGGCCTAATCTAGTATATAAATAAAGTATTTTAAATGTATAGTATAATGATAATTAAATAAATATATAATACTAAAAATATAGATTTTTCAAATTATATTTTTAAAAGAGGTATACTGTACTTAGCTCCCCTTAAAATAATGTGATTTTCTTGAGAATAAAAGAAAAAACAAAATATAAAAGACAAACAAAATTTATTGATATCGTAAATCCTTGCGAGATAAGTTCAAATCGCAATTAGTCAACTATATATATAAAATCCATTAAATTGAAAAAAAGTTGGCACAAAACCCTAATTACTCTTCTCTGTACCAATGATGAGTATGAGGCACAATCTTCAGCAACACGCAAGGCGTGTCCTCGCTCACAGTAACAGGAATCGACTCTTCTCCTCCTACACAAACAGAACACTATGGTCGTCGAACCAGATTCTGCAGAGCCGGATCGAGTCGGCTTTATCAGACCAGAAATCAAAACTCAGCACGGTGCTCGAGCAATGGCGGCAACAGCACGGGAACCAACTGAATCCTTCGCTGGTGAGAGGTATCGTCGAGAAGCTCCAAGAATCCAAGCGGTTTCCCGAAGCTTTAGACGTATCAGAGTGGATGATTGAGCGAAAGATCTGCAACCTCGTCCCCGAAGACTTCGCAGCTAGGTTTCATCTGATTGAGAACGTTTTAGGTTTGGGAGAAGCTGAGAAGTTCTTCGAGAGCGTCCCGGAGAATCTGAGAGGCGAATCTCTCTACACGGCTCTGTTAAACAGCTACGCGAGATCGGCGAAACCAGCAGCTCTTGATAGAGCCGAGTCTACTTTCGAGAAGATGAGAGAGCTAGGTTTGCTGCTGAAACCATCGCCGTACCACTCGATGACGTCGCTCTACAGATCTCTCGGGAAAAGAGATAAGTTTGATGAGATTCTCCGAGAGATGAAGGAGAACAACGTCCGGTTCGATAGTCTCACAGTGAACAACGCATTGCGAGCTTACGCTGCTGCGTCTGACGTTGCCGTGATGGACAAGTTTCTCGATGATTGGGGAGCGACCGCAACGCTTCAGCTGCAGACTACGCTCGACATGGCAAAGGCTTATCTGAGAAGTGGTTCAAAGGGAAAATCGAGAGAGATGCTTGGTAGAGCCGAGCAATTTAAGGATCGTAAGTCCTATGAGGAGCTCTTGAGGCTATATGGGCTATATGGTGAAGAAGGATATACAAGAGACGTTTACCGTATTTGGGATCTGTACAAGGAGACAAGAAGGCCTGACAATGAAGGATACCTAATTTTGATTACTTCTCTCTTGAAGCTTGGTGCTGTCAACGGAGCAGAGAAGAGCTTCAAAGAGTGGGAACGTTCGGGTCTTGAGTACGATCCTCGAATCCCTCAAGCGTTGGCGTCTGGTTATCGTAAAAGGGGAATGGTTTGCAAGGCAGATAAAATGATTCACAAGATGGTGATCAGCTCAAGAATGTGTAAACCAATCACTCCGGTGCTTCAAGAATTAGGGCTAAAAGGGAGTACCAAAGTGAAGCCGTCGGAGTTGAGAGACCTCATCAAGAGTCTCACTGATTCAAACCAGTTCTCAAAAGCACTCGAGGCATCAACATGGATGTGTGAGAAAGAGATGTTCACTCTTTTTCCTGAAGACTATGCAGCTAGGCTTCATCTGATTGAGAAGGTGTTGGGTTTGAAAGAAGCAAAAGAGTTTTTCCAAGTATCCATCCCGAAGAATATGAAGGGTAACTCTGTCTACGACACAATGTTGACCTCGTACACGAGATCTCACGAAACCCTACTTAACGCGGAGAACGTAATGGTGCTGATGGAGGAGCTCGGTTTCCTCTCCAAGCTCTCCCCATTCAGCAAGATGATCTCTCTCTACAGTAAGTTAGGGAAACGGATCGAGGTCGAGAAACTTTTGAAGAAGATGAATGAGAAGAACATAGAGCTGGATAGTGTCACGATGAACAACGTTTTGAGGGTATACTCACATGTGTCGGCTTTGGAGTTGATGGAAACGTATAAGAGCCATTGGGTTGATAATGATGAGGTTAAACTCAGTCTTGAAGTAGAGACGATGGACTCCATGGCAAAGGCTTATGAGAGAGAGGGGCTAACATTGAAGGCGATGGAGATGAGTAGGAGTAAAGAGGACGTTCTTCGTCTGTGGGATGAGTACAAGGTGGCAAGGAGAGGTTTAGATTGGAACGAAGGATATCGAGGTGTGATTAGAGCGTTGTTGAAGCTTGGAGACGTGAAAGGAGCACAAGAGATTTATGGAGAGTGGGAAGCTTCGGAAGGAACAAAGTTCGATGCTCGGATTCCTGGTTTGCTCATCTCTCGTTACTGCGAGGATGATGATCAGGTGAAGTTGAGTGACGTGGTGAATTCGAGTAGACAGAAGCTGAAGTGGAGGCGGGTGAAGATGTTCACGGAAGATTTAGGGTTTGCGTGTCTAGGGGTTGTTGGTGCTTCGCCCATGATATGGGGGTTGTATCTGATTTTGAAATGGGGGATGTCAGTGAATCCTTGCCTTACCGCTTTCGGCTGTATTGGTTTGATCGTTGCCATATCGTAATATTTTTTTTGGGTTGGTTTGAGATTATCTCTCACTGAGATACACATGGAATCTCTCACAAATATATTATTAACTAGGGGTTTGAATTATATAAGATAACTAGATTAGGCCTCGCGTATACGCGGGTTTATTTTAAAATTTTTAAATAAATCTGAAAATATTAAACATAATATAATCATTTTTAAAAGTAAGTAGAATAATAATAAAAACCCGATAACAAATCACTAAATAAAATAAGATTAGTAATCTTTTTAATTTTTATTATAATTGACATTTGTTTTGAATTCATGATATGAAAAATGAATTAATTTGTGTTATCTTATTTTTATCTAATATAGAAATACTTACATGTGTTTAAATCTGATGGACTAATTAATACGTGAAACTTTGATTATTCCATCGAAGAGATTTCAGTTGATGAAATCATTTTTTAATATTTTTTTACCTAACAAAAATTTGAAAATAAACTATTTAAAATTAGAATATCGGACCAAAATAAAATTTTCTTTTTAATATTAGTTAGCTGTTGATAATTATTTTGTTAGCTTTCTATTTATATTCTTTCTTTTATAATATTTATTTTGCCTCAGACCATTATAAATTTTTCTTTTCATTATTAGTTAGTTGTTTTACAATTTTTCGTTTTGTTATTAAATTTTTCTAATTTTCTTGTGTTAACACATGTTATAATCTGATCAAATATTATACATGGTGCGGTAGTAGTTTTGATTTTGATCCAACTGATCTAAAATTAAATATTCTTCATTGATATCTAGAACTTTTAAAGACATGATTTTTCATTTCTTAATAAGAAAGAAAATTTAAACAAAATATAGAAGACACAATTAAATCATGAAGGGTGTAACTTATTATATATTTTTTTTCCTTCTTGTATTGGGAATATGTTTTTTTCCGTTTCTTAATGGATGTAACAATTTATTGTAAATTATATATTTTCTTACTAACCTTTTCATCAAGTAGTAGAAGCTCAACTCCCATAAGAATATTATTTTCTTTTGGATTTCTAACTTCCCCTTTCGAATAACACGTACTATAGTACGGCGATAATTTCGATTTCGATCCAATTGACCTAGAGTCAAATAATCTTCACTGTTTTCTTGAACATTCAAAGACATGATTTTTAAATTAGAGAAAGAGAATCAGAGAAATTTGATGAATTTGCTTTGATGAGTTTGTAATGAGAAAAAAGAGACTACTGTAACTTTGTATTTATAGGTGTTCATATAACATATTCCTTGCAGATATAGGAATTTTAGTTTACGTACCTATTCCATGTAGTAATAGGATTTTATTTATTACATTATTTTCAATCTTATTTTATAATATTAATATATGTTTGGATAATATAAATTTGATGAATGGGAAAACCTTTTTCTGTTAGGATATGACAAAATTAATAAAATAGATTAAATTTCGTTTTTTTAATTATTCCTATTTCTAGTATTTTTTTTTTAAATTCTTTTTTTCCCCTAATACATGTCACGATCTTAACGGACATAATCTTAAAAGTGACACATGTCGCGATCCTATATTTTATAAAAATCCTACGTGTCGCAACCACATCGCGCGCATCCAGCTTTATATAATAAAAAAATTTGATGAATGAGAAACCTTTTTCTATTTGGATTTGGCAAATATTATTTTTTCCTTTTTGATATAATAGATTAAATTAAATTTCGTTTTTTTTTTAATTATCATTTTTCTGGAATTTTTTTTTAATTCTCTTTTTTTTCCTAAGACACGTGTCACGATCTTAACGGACATAAACTTAAAAGTGACACATGTCGCGATCCTGAATTTTATAAAAATCCTACGTGTCGCAACCACGTCGTGCGCATCTAGCTTTATATAATAAGATATAACTTTTGAAACATTTATTAGTGATTTGTATTTCGTTGGTTTTAATATGAGATTCTTTGCAAAATACCTTATTTATGTTTTAATGTTTGAAAAACACTTTTTTGTTGTTTTGTTTTGATTACTTTCTTTCTCACTCTAAATGGTTGTTATGTGTCACTCCAAAAAATTTTGACATCCACTTTTTAAATTCAACATCAATTCCTCTTTATGTTAAGTTTTTCCTACAAAATAATAATAATAATAATAAATGAAATCTGATTGTACACAATTAAACCACATTTGTTTCATATAAACATATATAAATCTTACATGTATTATATATGGATCTTTTTCTCTTTTAGAAAAAAAATTATATTTGGTATTTTACTATGCAAATGATGCCAAACAAAAGAATTATGCCAAAAGAATTAATTAAATCATATATACAAATATCACACAAAATAATATAGTAAGAACAATATTAATTTCATTGATTTATATATTTAGAAGAAAAATATTTGTTCCATTGACAATGCAAATATGTTCATTGTCAGTTAATTAATACTCTTTCCGTTTCAAATTAGTTGTCATTTTGGGAAAATGTATATGTAATTATTTGGATGTATCTGCAATGCAAAATACGTCCATATACATCCAAATATTTGCAGATACATTTTGCCAAAACGACAACTAATTTGAAACGGAGGGAATATGCATATTAATCTATCTAAGGTGGAGGCTTAGCCCTCCTATGGAATCAAAAAGTTGAAGTAGAAATCCTAGAGTCCTGCGACAATTACATAGACACGGCCATAACCTATAAGAACCAGAAATTCCTCGCAACTTTTACCTATGGCGAACCAGACCACACGAAAAGAAGAGAGGTTTGGGAGAAGATTTCTGACCTTGGTGCAGCAAGAGAGAACCCATGGTTCCTCACAGGAGACTTCAATGAAATCATGGACAACTCAGAAAAGCAAGGAGGCCCCCCCAGATCCGAGGCATCGTTTGGAGACTTCCGTGAGTTCCTCTCCAAGAACGATCTCTACGATATCCAGCATACTGGGAACTCCCTGTCCTGGAGAGGTGTCAGGGGTACTCACCTCGTCCATAGCCGCCTCGATAGAGCTCTCTCCAATAGTGCCTGGACAGAAGCGTTCCCTACAGGCAGAAGCATCTATCTCCCGTTCGAAGCTTCCGACCACAGACCGATAATCACCTTCTTCGAACCGGCACTGCAAAAGAAAAGAGGCCTTTTCAGATATGACCGGAGGATGAAAAGTAATGAGAAGATCAAACAATTGGTAGCAAAAGCCTGGGGAGAAGAACCAGATGCAACTGTGGAACAGAGAATTTCAAAATACAGGAAAGAAATAGTAAAGTGGAATAGACAACACCACCAAAACAGCAAAAAGGTGATTGAAGAGAAGAAAAAACAGCTAGAAGAAGCTATGACTTTGAGGATAGCGGATGAGACTAGAATCCAAAGCATAAACGCATTTCTCAAAGAAGCCTACAAAGAGGAAGAAAGCTACTGGAAACAGAGAAGTAGGCAGTTATGGCTAGCATTGGGAGATAAGAATTCAGGCTATTTCCACGCGGTGACAAGAGATAGAAAGCGCATTAATGCTATAACAATGATAGAGAAAGAGAATGGAGAAACCTGCTATGAAGAAAGCCAAATCGCAGAAACAGTGGCAAACTTCTACTCGGAGCTTTTCACGTCGCAGGAGCGTGATAGAGCAGCTATGGTGGATAGAATTTTGGAGCCACGAGTCACGGAGGAGGACAACAAAGCGCTAACGGCCGAGCCTTCGAAAGAGGAAGTAAAAAGGGCACTCTATGCCATCCACCCGGACAAAGCACCAGGTCTAGACGGGTTCTCTGCTAGCTTCTTCCAGTCTAACTGGGATGTAGTGGGAGACACTATCACTTCTGAAGTCAAGACTTTCTTCTCCACATGAATCTTGCCTACAACAATCAACAACACCCACATTAGACTAATTCCTAAAATCTCGAGCCCCAAAAAAGTTGCAGATTATCGACCGATAGCTCTTTGTAATGTCTATTACAAAATAATCTCAAAGATGCTTACCTTACGACTTCAGCCGATCCTGAATGGGCTCATCTCGGAAAACCAATCCGCCTTTGTTCCTGGCCGAGCCATCTCAGAAAACGTTTTGATCACACACGAAGTTCTCCACTTCCTGAAAACCTCCGGAGCAAAGAAGCACTGCTCCATGGCTGTTAAGACTGATATGAGCAAAGCCTATGATCGCATAGAGTGGGATTTCCTGATAGCGGTTCAAAGAAAGTTAGGTTTCCAAGAGAAATGGATAAACTGGATACATCAGTGTGTCTCAACAGTCAAGTATTCGTACCTGATCAACGACGGTGCGCATGCAGCAGTGACACCACAACGAGGCATAAGGCAAGGAGACCCCCTCTCGCCGTACATCTTCATTCTCTGTGGAGAAGTTTTATCTGGACTCTGTAGAAGAGCTCAGAGAGATGGGACCCTTCCGGGTATTCGAGTGGCTAGAGGCAGTCCTCTAATCAATCACCTCCTATTCGCAAATGATACAATGTTTTTCTGTAAGTCAAACAAGAAAAACTGTGAGACCCTACATCAGATTCTACAGACGTATGAGGAAGCATCTGGCCAAGTGATTAACCTAGGGAAATCGTCTATCACCTTTGCGAACAAGACAAACATTGAAACCAAGGAGAAGGCAAAAGAGATTCTAGGGATAACAGCCCTGGGAGGACAGGGGAAATACCTCGGACTGCCTGAACACTTTGGCAGAAAGAAGAAGGATCTTTTTGCTCTAATCGTGGATCGGATCAGAAGGAAAGCAGTTAGTTGGTCTTCTCGCTTCCTGTCGGGGGCGGGGAAGATGACGATGCTCCAAGCGGTTCTCTCAGCCATCCCAACCTACACGATGTCATGTTTCAAACTGCCTATTAGCTTGTGTAAAAGAATACAATCAGCAATGACTAGATTCTGGTGGGATGAGACATCAGGAAAGAAGAAGATGTGTTGGGTAGCGTGGAAAAAGCTTACAAGATCGAAGAAGGACGGAGGACTAGGCTTCAGAGACGTGGAAGCGTTTAATGATGCACTCCTGGCCAAGCTAAGTTGGAGGATTCTCACTAACCCCAATTGCCTCCTAGCCCGGGTACTTAAAGGAAAGTACTTCCGGTACACCAGTTTCCTCGAGGCCCGTCCCCGGAAATCTGCTTCTCATGGATGGCAAGGCCTCCTAGTTGGCCGAGATTTGTTGAGACTTAACCTTGGAAAAGCCATCGGTAATGGAGAAGCTACGAGCATTTGGAACGACCCATGGCTATCCTTGGAGACCCCAACAAAACCCATGGGACCAGCGACGTTAGGAACAGCTGAGTGGACCGTGGCAAAGCTCATTGACCCTCACACCAAAACATGGAACAAAGAGAAAATCCTGTCAGTCTTACCAAACCTAGAGCAACAAATCTTATGCGTCAAACCGAGCGTTTTGGGAAAAGAAGACAAGTATATATGGCTAGCAACGGAATCAGGAGAATACACCTCTAAAACCGGCTACCATATTGCGTTTGCAAAGCAGTCAATCGAAATCACGGTCCTAGATACCAATAATGAAAGCTCAATCAACTGGACTAGGGACGTGTGGAATGCTCATACCTCACAGAAGCTGAAGGTGTTCCTATGGAAGCTGAGTAGCGGAGCCTTGGCCTTGGGAGAAAACCTCTTCAGCAGAGGAATCAAAGCTAATGCGGTTTGCAACCGTTGCGGAGAGTTGGAGACTCGAGAGCATATGCTCTTCCTCTGCTCGTTTGCCAAACAAGTCTGGGAAGCGACCCCAGTAAGAAATCTCCCAAGCTTCACCTCAGATCAAACGTTTGGCACTATACTCCAGGAAGTAAAAAGCTGGATCTGTCTCCCCCCAGTAGGACTCATGGGTAGCTCTCTGTTCCCATGGATCTGTTGGTTCTTGTGGCTCGCCAGAAACAAGCAGATCTTCGATGAAAGGGGCTTTTCACTGTCAGACACAATTACCAAAGCAATATCCAAGGCGCGGGAATGGGAAGCAGCTCAGATCACGACACCAACAACGGAAAGGAGATTAGGGACAGGAGAAGCTCTACCGCTTCACCCTCAAGCCACAATCTGCTTCGTCGATGCAACTTGGACAGTGGAAAACCAGGCAGCGGGATACGGCTGGCTCTTCAAAACACAAGCCGGCGTTGTTATCAGAGAAGGGCACAAATCGGAAGCTCCGGTCCGATCCCCACTAGCAGCAGAAGCCTTAGCGCTGAGGGAAGCTCTCATGGACGCCAAATCACGAGGATGGACCAACCTCTGCTTCAAGTCCGATTCACAGACGCTCATTAGAGCTATTCGATCAACCGAAAATATAGCCGAGATCTATGGGGTCCTCCAAGACATCCATATCCTGGCTTCCTCATTTGTCACGATCGCCTTCGATTTTATGCCGAGATCTAATAATCTCCAAGCGGATTCGATCGCAAAATTTGCATTATCTTCGTTTGTATCGTTGTCTTTGTTTTCTTCGCTTGTAACGCAAAACGGGTAACCGGCCGGTTTGGTTCTAAGTAATGGAAGGACGTTAAAAAAAAAAAAAAAAAAAAAAAAAAAATCTATCTAAGTTGAAATTGAATATAAAAAGGTTTAGACATAATTACTTCACATGTCGTTGTAGTATAGTGGTAAGTAATCCCGCCTATCACGCGAGTGACCCGGGTTCGATCCCCGGCAACGGCGATTTTTTTTATTTTTCAAATCGAAATGAACCGTAAGTCCCCGGTTTAGTCTTTTTTATTTGTTTGTTTGTTGCCATCCATAACTTTCTCTTTTCTCGGTTATCAGGAAAAAGGGAAGAAGAAGAAGAGAGTTCCCGCATTGCTCGGATTCGATTCCGTTGGGTTTTTTTTTTTCTTTGCCCCCTGTGATTGAGAAGTCAAGTCAATGACTACGAAGAACTTGGTGGATCCTTCGTGGCGTCTTCTGGCTGCGAGCGGCGGGGACACGGTCAAGCTCTTCGACGTGTCCGCCGGCGCCGACTCTGCTGATGATCCCTGCGTTTTGAGCTACACTCCGACGCCTCGCTCTGTCGTCAATTCCGTAAAATGGAACCATACAAGTAAATATCCCCAGATTCTAGCTTTTTTTTTTCCAAAAAAAAGTGTCACTCCATTTTTTCCTGATTTGCTTTTGTTGGTGAGAGATTAGAACAGTGAGGAACTTCTTCATGATTTATCTGAGGTCTTATAGTAATTTTAACCGTTGTGAAGAAGCAGAATCCAGATTTCCTGTGATGCTCTTTTCCAATTGTGCCTTGGTGTTAGATTGGTGTGCACTTAGGGATTGTGCAGGAGGAATTCAATGGCTTGAATTTTAACTCGTGACATCTGTTTTACACTGCCTCTAAGTTTGAAGTTTTGATTCTAATTGATTTACTCTGCATTTAGTGGAAGGAGAATCGTCGTTTGTTTTTACTGTATGTTTGTTCAAGTTATGCTTGTTTGGGATTACAGATATGGTTGTGGCGAGTGTGGGAGAAGATAAGAAAATATCTCTGTGGCATAAAAATGGGAAGAGCTTAGTAACAGTTCCGGTTACTTCGACGAACAGCAGTGATATCAATGAGGTTACTTCTATTTTTGGATAATTCTTTTCATGAGATTCTGATTTCGATTTTCTCTAAAAGAGCTTCCTTCATCTGAATTCAGGAATGTTTATCGGCCATTAACTTCAGCAACAAAGGGTCTAGGTATATATGTTCTGGAGGAACTGGTCAAACAGTCAGGATATGGGATCTGCAAAGAAAGCTATGTATCAAAAACTTGAAAGGTCACACAAGTACAATAACTGGTGTGATGTACAATTGCAAAGATGAGCATTTGGCTTCTATCAGTGTTGGTGGGGATCTGATAGTCCACAACCTTGCGTCTGGAGCAAAAGCTACTGAACTCAAAGATCCAAACGCGCAGGTTGTTTGGTTAGTATATGCATGCTTTCGTTTATAGTTGAGAGCTTTTGTTCATCAAAACTAATTGGCTTTTTGATTGGTTCAGATATTGAAGGTACTCGATTATTCAAGGTTCAGTAGACACCTTCTACTTACTGCTGGTGATGATGGGACTGTGCATCTCTGGGATACGACTGGTCGTAACCCAAAGGTTTGCTCTTTTACACTGTGTTCCATGTGGGAAAGGATGTATTACACTGTGTTCCATGTGACAATGCAGTTTCATTTCCACAGATGTCCTGGTTGAAGCAGCATTCTGCGCCAACTGCTGGTGCTTGTTTCTCTCCATCAAATGACAAGGTTACTGAATCCTTATAAATCATCTAGTTACTTATACATCAACAACACAGATCTATTGATTTGTCTATAATACTCTGAATAATCTTGTTCATGTGCATGTACACTCACAAAGCTATGACTTACATAAGCTTCTCCAATGGTTTTTCTTATGGAGTTTATCTACGGTTTGACAGATAATTGCTAGTGTGGGGCTAGACAAAAAGCTGTACACTTACGACTCTGGTTCCAGAAGACCTTCGTCCTGCATTCCATATGAAACACCTTTCTCTTCTCTGGCGTTTGGGGATAATGGGCACATACTCGCAGCTGGAACCGGTAATGGTAGAATAGTATTCTACGACGTACGTGGAAAACCACAACCTGTCACTGTCCTGCATGCGTTCAACAGTTCAGAGGTCAATACTTTTTTCCTTAGTCCAATCCTTTAAGCATGTCTTTACGGTTTACTCTGGTTACATGGATGATACATTATGCACTTACCAATGCTAAAATCTCCAGCAATTGCAACAATATAATGTATTCTTAACTTTCTACTCTGGATTGCAAAGCGAACTAAGCTTCTGCTTTTATTGATTAGGCTGTTACAAGTTTATCCTGGCAAACATCAAAACCAGTTATTGTGAATGAAAGAAACTGCACGTCTGAGATGGCTCTTTTTGGTGGTACTGTTGAAGACTCAGTTGTCATTCCAGACCCGAATCCCTCAGCGACATCCTTAGGCTCTCACGGGGTTGCCACTGGTACGGTGAATCTATCATTAGCAGAAGAAACACCGAACAGAAATCATCTTTGGCCTGGTGGACCACTGAGCAGACTACAAGCACACCGTGCCAGTGATGATAGTTTTAAAGATGATATGGACATATTTTCCCCTATCGTTGGCATACAGTCTGTTGAGAGATGGCCTGATTCCGAGGGACTGAAAAGGGATCATTTGGTTCTTGATAAGAAGACTTCCTCCTTGACGTTTCCTTCATCGAGCAAAGGAGGATTTCCGTTTGGGGATGACGGAGACAAAGAACACCCAATAAATGACTGGAAACTGAGTTCTACTTCTAAACAGGTTTGCTTTACTTCATCTTTCCACCTCATTTTAATTCCATCCTGTTTGTTTGTATAAACTTTAAAATCCTCTGTTATTTAGCCCTCTCATAGGTTCATCAGTGTTTAACCTATGGTCTTCTTGTATATATTGTACAGGATGACACAAGGGCTGCATTTTCACCTTTCGGATCAACGCCCACGGTATCATCAAAAAACGAATACTCTGCTCTGACACCTCCAGAAGCATGGGGTGGTGAGAAGTATAGCCACTTGGCAGCTAACGAGAAGTTTTCTGATAAATTCAGTCACCTGAATCCGCCTCTGCGTCTTGGAGTTTCCAGCTCAAGCGCTAGTACATCTGGATCAATGTTCTCTGGTTCTATAGATTTCCCTTTGTCGCTTAGTCAGAATCAGACCGGGCTTGCAAACGTTAGCATTAGCTCAGAATTCCCAGGAATCAGAGACTACACCTCAAAATTTGAGAAATCCTCAACGCTTGTAGACAATTTCCCATCAAGCCCCTTGTTAACCAAAGGCATCGCAGCTCCAGGGAATATTGATTCATTGAGGCTATCACCGAGTTTTACTCGTAGGTTCTCTACTTATGCCGAGAGAATCAGCACCACTTCTTCCTTCAGCGATGGAGCCGCATTTCTCACTCATGGTTCCCCTAAGATAAAGAAAACAGGAGCTGAAACCAGAGAAGAAGTTTTGAATAATCTGTTGCAAAGACCTGAGAAAGCGGCTGCAGCAGATGCAGGAGCTCTTCCGGTTATGAATGTATGAAATTCTGCAAATTTCACAAAACCTTTTATTCTTATTCTTAATCAATCTCGTTTAGTCTATCAGTAACGTGACCGACATTTTGCGAATTTTGTACCAGGGAGGAGGAAGCTTGCAACAATCTGAAACGGATTCACAAAGAGGTAACAATTTCACGCTTCAGCTATTTCAAAGAACACTCGAAGGAACACTTGATACTTTCAAGAACTCAATCCACGACGATGTGAGGAACCTACACATTGAGATCTTGAGACAGTTCCATATGCATGAGGTAATTTTTGTCTCTTTGCAGTCACTATGGCTTAAATCTTTTTAAATGCTTGCTTTTGTTAAATGACGAGTTTTGGTGAACAGATGGAGATGTCAAAGACGTTAAACTCGGTTCTGGAGAACCAAGCGGAGCTCATGAAAGAGATTAAGATGTTACGGAAAGAGAACCAACAACTCCGGCAAATGCTTTAGAGGGAGGGAGTGAGAGAGAGAGGTATATGAGTCTGACCATTTGAGGCTAATGTATTCGAATCGTAGGTTATATTTATATATATATATAAGAGGAGAAATTCAATTGAACAGATCATAGAAATGTCTTTCTTGAACCAAATTAATACTTAATTAACAAAATTATCTTTCCTTATTTGAGAAACTGAGAACATAGAATCCTCACCGGATGTGAATATCATTCTTGTCTCATTCTCTGACTAATCTCAGTACATCACCCACAAGTTGTAACGAACCTGTGACCAGGACCTGCTTTGATCAAAACACAACACAATGTCATAAAAAGCTCATTTGCCTTTGGTTCGTTCGTCTGAACTATGTTTAATGTAAAGCAGGTTTCGGGTTATAACCTGGAATCTTGTGGGTGAATCAACCACAATGTCCCTGAGCCACTTGATTGCCAATGGCAGAGACGAAAACACCTCACTCTTTCCTCCATCTTCTTCCCCAACAAGGCTTTCCCACACTTTTTGGACTGTGTACTGCCATGACAAATCAACCGATGAATCATCATCTTTATTCTCCACCAAGGCATTGTGAGGCATGGACATGTTTGGCACAAACAAGACTTTCTCGAAGTCAACACCTACAGAAACAAAACATATTCTCTTAATGCGACGACCTCTTTGTAAGACTTGCTACTTCTTTCATTTCATCAAGAAAATATTAGCGAGACGAACTTGTTACAGAAGAACACACTTACCGTTCTTAGCACATGTACTCCTTAGATGTGCTAAAAGCAGAAGCGGATCCAGAACAGACATACAATTGAAAAGCAATATCTACAAGAGAAAATCAAACCGTAAACAGGAAAATATTATTCTGGAAAACTGGGAGATGAAAGAAGAACATGAACCTCCCCTCCCCTTACCCGTTGGCAGGTTTCCCCGGACCATTTCTCAAGCTTACTTTCTGATCCTTTAACCAAAGATTCAGAAGTACTATCAGTCTGTTCATCTCCCACAACAGCAAGAGAAAACCACTTTGCACATGCTTCCATGCTTTCAGGAGTGTGAGCTCCATCGAGATAAAATACTAGATTTCCAGTTTGATCAGGTATGACCTGTGCTCGTCCTTGCATACTAGCTGTAGCTAACCCTCTGATGAATGGCTCAGGCAGTACTGTAGTCTACCAAAGAAAAACAATCAAAAAGTTGAGAAATTCAAAGGCAAAAACAAAAACAGTGATAATGGAGGAGAGCATACCATCTGATTCAGATTGGGAATTTCAAGGTTACAACTCTTCTGAAGCCAGGTGTGGGCAAGTGAGACTGCTAGACCAGCATTTAGATACTGGTGCTCCCCATCAAGACCGAGTTTCTTACCACTCAAAAGCCTTTTGTTTAATGGTTGTACCACTTTGAGGTTCACCTGTACTCAAACAAAATGTTTAAGCTTCTCTATTAAAACACTCAAACAATATTCTTGACAAACTTTCACATTCCAATTCAGAAGCTAAAAACATGTGCACCTATGGAACACTCAAATCTCGTTTCCTCCATAAAATGTGAAGTTCATCTAAAAACATGCATTTTTAAGCATGCATTTTTTCAACCATTTACATTGTTTGCCTATTTTACTGAGCTTCCGGGTTTGGCAGTCAAAATTTGAACTTACATCTAACGCAGAAGCTTTATCTTCAAGGACACTCATAGCTTCATCTGGTTGGGGCACTGTGAAAGCTGGAACTCCAAGCTGAAAGATGAAGCAAGTAAGTTTAAGGTCACCAGAAAAGAATAACCCTCTTATGTTTTAAAATCGGAAGTAATAGACACCTTGAAAATTCCTGCCTTCTCACCAGCAATTTTTCCGAGTGTATCACCTGTGATGCATCAAGCAGACATAAGCTAAGAATAATATAGTCCTACATGTTTTTAAAAGCAGCACTGATCTGGCATGCAAAGAGAAGATTACTAACCAAGAATTTCAATGTGGTCATATCCAAGAGATGAAAAACCACATACCACAGGTTTCTTAACCTGAAACATAGCAGTAGTAGTAACTTGTTGTCTCGCCAGAGATACTTATATAACTTTTATTAGCCACAAGAAAACTAATACTCTCTACTTCAAAAAAAAAAACCTGTATGAAAGTTATCCATTTTTAGTTAGATTGACCATATATATAACACTTAGTTTCTCCACAATACTTAATTAGCAATTAGTTTTGAAAACATCGGAGTTCAAGTAAATAGATTGGGACATATATACCACATTGGTGAAATCAATCCTCCCACCTAGTCCCACCTCCAAAATAACAACATCTACCTGCACATAAAGAAGCAGAGAACACACAAGAAAACTGATCATGCTGCATCTTTCATGTAACTAAATAAGAGAAAGGACTCAGTTAACGTAAATATTAGGATCTAACCTCCTCTGCAGCAAATATTTTAAAACCTAGCAAAGTAAGGAAGCGGAAATATGAAGGCATCGTTTTCTCCTCATTAGTTCTCTCCTGAAATAGTCAAATAATTAACTAGAAACTCAGCCTCCATAAATTTTATTAAGACTTACAAAATAAATGAAAAGAAAAATCAGGCCATTAAAACCAATGGTTCCAACATCATATAGAGGAAAAGGCTACAGATCATTAGCATTTAGGAACTGCGAATACATAAGTGTATCTAATGAACTGAAGCGTATTTGGTTGTGAATTGTGAGCATACCTTCAGCCTGTTATAGCACCACCAGAAATATGCTGTGAACTTCTCCTCACTTACTTCGACTCTGCAGCAACAAAGAACATCAGGGAAAGAGGAAAATGATTAGTAATCCTCTTTCGTTGCGTGTGGATAATGACAATGTACATTCATTTCTCAAGTTCTCTTAACTAATTACCCATCCAAACGAATTCTTTCACGGACATCAATGAGGTGAGGTGAAGTTAAGAGTCCAGTTAGGAAGCCATAGTTACGTAATATAGACTCAGTAAAGGTGCATGTGGATCCCTTCAAGCATGCAACAGAGAATCATGTTAGCTGGTAGATCAGATAAATAATTTATCAGCCATGCAAGTACAAAATACTATCTTCCATGTTCGAAAATCAGATCGTACTATTTAATTAGCCATGCAAACAAAATGTAGTGAAAATACTAATAAATTAATGTGGGGACGTATCACATACATAAGAACAGAAATCAAAACCGGTGATAATCTCAATATGTAATAATATTAGGAATTAAGAACTGAAATGGGTTAAACTAAGTACTGATACTCAACCATAACAAGCTAAGAGGTAAGGATCTTGAGTTCTTTGTACCTTGCCTTTGGTTCCGGCGACATGGATAACTTTCAGCTTCGAAATGTCTTCTTCCAAGTCAAGTATCTACATATATCATGTGTCACATTAAGTGAGAGAAATTTACATGGAAAAATAGAGAGAGAGAAAAACAATCAATCAAATTCATATAAGAATTCAAAGTCATGAGAAGAACCTTGATGTAATGAGACGCAAACTCAAACTGTTCTCCTTTATCACGTTTCATGACCAGCGATGATAAAGCAACGAGTGCTTCCTGGTACAAATCACCACCTGTTTTGTGCGTTGACACTCCATAATCATCTTAAGGAAAAGGGAAAAAAGAAAACACAAGTGAACTCAAAATAACGAGAAGCATATATATTCACATTTCGAAGGAGCTATATGGGAAGAAATCAACATACTTTGACCTGCCATATATGTCGATATGCTTTTTCAACAAAGGAGTCCAAAATCAAACAACTGATGAGAATACAAAAGATGTGAGAGGGAGAGGAAAAGAGAGAGAGATAAACGAAAGTGGTGGCTAGCTGCTGGTATTCACGAGCTGTTGACAACTAAGGCATATGGGATCAATAGAAAATTTGAAAATGATTACGGTTGCTGTTGAAACTTAAATAAAATTATGAAAAAAACATATCAACTTACAAGCCTATGTTGACTTCTTTGCACAATCTTTCATCTTCCCGTAATTTTTGTATAAATAATATAAAGAATTGAAGTGATCGTATCGTCTGGGTGGTGTAGTCGGTTATCACGCTAGTCTCACACACTAGAGGTCCCCGGTTCGAACCCGGGCTCAGACACATTTTTATTCTTATTCATTTTTTTTCTCTTAATTACGTTGGTGCCACGTCATCATCTCCCTCACGCACGTTGGGTCCATTTCGCACGCGTGTGTCCTGGTTCTACTTTTTCTTTCCCATTTGCTTGCTTGACCCACAGGAATAAAAAACAACAAACGCAAACCCAGAGAAGCAAACATCCGCGAAATCGAAAACCCAGAAATCACTCCCGAGATTCGAATCAATTCCAAAAACCCAATCAAACCCTATCTTCTTCCTCGACTTCAAAGCAGATTATTGTTTCTTCTTCTCGTGTGCCGTAGTTTCTGAAGAGAGAGAGAGATGGATTGGGATAGCGTTGCAGCTGAGGATGTGATTGAAGCGCTAAGAGAGGTTGAGTGGTCGACGCGTCCTCGTTCCTTGGCCGAGTTCTTCTCCAGATTCGCCTTCCCTCGCTCTTTCTCTAAATGGATGAGCCGTCTCAAATGCAATCTCTACTAGTATTTTACCCTCTCTCTATCTCTTTCTATATGCGTATTCGTTGTTTGCGAATCGAGCTGGTGATTTTGATTCCATCTTATTTTGCTGGATTTTCTGTTGCAGCTATAGGACGAATTACTTCATCCTGTTGATTTTCGTTCTAGGTATGTCAAAGGCTTGGCTGAATTTCTTGTATTTTAGCTCTAAATGAGAAATCTGGGTTTTGATTTAAGATCCTCTTGAGCTGTGCTTAACACTTGATAATTTTTTTTAACTCCTTTGTGGACTCAGGTATTGCACTTATCACCCGACCTCTTGCCATTCTTGGTGCTGCTCTCACAGCCTTAAGCTTAGCTTTCCTAAACGACAGGTATCTCCTGTGATACCTCGGTAGCTTGTACTTTATATCGTTGCTTAGAAATACATTCCTTGCTCATGTTGGTGCTGGTTTGCATATATCGAATGTTTAGCAGTAGATTCTATATTTCCAGTGATTAGCCATTCGAATCGCTATGCTTAGTATAAGATTCAATAGTTTATGGTGTTGTTTATTAAGAGTTGAGTGTTGCCTGCAAGGTTCTCTATTTTCTGTGATGAGCCCTTGAAGTGTCTATGCTTAGTAGTAAATTCATTAGTTTATGGAGTTGGTTTCTAAAACTTGAGGGTTGCAATATTCTGTATTCCTAGTGATTTGGTTGTGTTTTTTAACTTTACCCATTGATTTGAGGGTTCTTTTGTATATGTATTTCCATGTGGGTGTTCCTTGGCATCTATTGAACGCTCTATGGGGTTTTGTTGTCTTTTGCAGCTTTGCAGCAACATTTAATGAGAAGACGATCCGGACTCTTAGGCTTTTCTCACCACATTTAGCTGCAAAGATGAGGCCTCCCCACATGTGAGTTCTTTTGATTTTGTTTCCATGGAAGATTTACAGACGGTTATTCTTTTAACATTGACTACTTGTGTACACCTTTCAGGCCGGTCATTCGTGGGCGATCTGCAGCTAGAAAGACAGTTTACGTTTGTGGCCAACCACGTTTGGTATTCGTCTTACTTGGCTTAACCGGTACTACTCAAAATATCCCTGAACTCAAGTCACATAAACTCTCCTTAACTCTTGATATGCAACTGATGGCAAATTATTTAATTTTCCTTGTTGTAGCGAGTTTTATCTTGTGGTTTACTTCCTGCGGTTTGTTATGGGTCCTCTATGCACTTACCACTGCTCTTTTCAGTAAGTCACTACACTTCCACGCAAATTTTCCTCTTTCATCTTTTTCTGTTTTTGGTCCAGCTTCCATCCTTTTAACTTTAAAATTATCTCTTTCCATTAGCGATCATCCTTCACGCCACCCTGAGAACTCCAAACCTCAAGGCACGCTTGAACACATTCCGTGAAGAGTTCCGAGCTGTCTGGCGTAACTACAGTGAGCTTTAAGTCCAACAAGAAAGCTTGAAGCTTGCAGCGAAACCAAGCGGGGACATCGTGGTTTCAAGTAAGGGCATGAATTCCAATTCCTCCTTCCATCATGTGCGCAAACAACAATCGAACAGTTATTCTTGTTCTTCTAGTTAGCTAGTAACTATAAGGCCCATTTGTCTGATGACAGATGCAGCTCCTTCTGGTTTGTTGACTCGAATCGCAAGGTTAAATCGTAGCCAGAATATAGTGTTTTTGCTCTTAAGGTTCCTTGTAAAACTTACTCAACACTAAGTCTGTTGTAGTGATGTTCATACTCTTTAGTCTTTACAGTGTGTGTTTAGTGATTTCAGCTTTGCAAATTGCTTCTAAAACAGCCATTTCCTATGTCTTGAGTAAGTTCTTAAGAGTTGAGAGTTTCTTCAAGCAAGGTCACTTTGGCCCATTGCTTAGCGAAACGGCCCAATAGAAACATAATAAAAGGGCCAGAAACATTTTTGAGAGATTTAAAATATCGTCAACATTTCAAGACCGTTCGAACACTAAACTAGAAACGGTGCGTTTTGAGTGATAGACAGAGAGGAGCGATAAGATATACGAAACCCTAAAGAGAGAGAGAGCTTCCCCTTCAGTTTTCTTAGATTACATCGACGGAACAAGCAGCGCGTCAGAATCCAAAACGAGAAGATGACGATCGATTCGCAGCAGAAGACGAGCAAGTTCCGATGGGGAGAAATGGACGAGGACGACGATCTGGATTTCCTTCTCCCTCCGAAGCAGGTGATTGGCCCAGACGATAACGGTCTGAAGACGGTGATCGAGTACAGATTCAACGAGGAGGGCAATAAGGTCAAGATCACGACCAGATCTCGCGTCCGTAAGCTGGCTTCCGCGCGGCTCAGCAAACACGCCAAGGAGCGGAGGAACTGGCCTAAGTTCGGCGACGCAACCAATGAGGAAGCTGGTAGCCATCTCACCATGGTCTCTACCGAAGAGATTCTTATGGAACGACCCAGAGCTCCTGGTAAATCCATTTCCTCTGATTATGATTCTGGCCAATTTTTGTTTGTTCAGATTCGTATTCGTATTCATCTTGGATCTAAAATCATTTCTTCTAGGAGAAATTAATCGCTTATGATTTTACATTTGTTTTTGCAAAATTGAGACTAGTCCTAGTTTATTTTGTGTTTGACGATATGGCCAAAAGATTTGTAGATTAGAAGTTTATGCATTGATCTTGGTCTGCTAATTGTGTGAATAAACTAGTAATCTCACCTCTAAATCTGTTTTATGTGATCTGCTCTAATCGAATACGGAATCTCTAATTCATTGTTTTGATTAGCACGAATCATGAACTGAATCATTAGTCTTATTACGTAATCTGAGATTATTTACTCTGAGGTGACCTATTAGCCGATCACACGTTAGCCATTTCGGCTACTTCTTTGTGTGATTGGTCAGTATTTCACCAATAGCAGTTCGTTGTTTGTAGTCCATTCCGAGTAGGAGAGGAAATGTGCTCTCTCTTTCTTGGCACAAACACATAAATGTTGCAGCTTTTCCCTTATTTTCTTATGTAATGATAGGAAAGCTTTTATTTTTAGCTTGTTAGTTTGTTGAATCTTCAAGCTTTTGTTTTACGAAACGTCTCCTGTCTTTGTTCCTAGCTTCAATTCATGGCTTATACCATGATTTTGATCCTGTGGTTTAAGACTTTCAATCTTTGGGTGGCCTTGGATCTAAAGGGTTAGTGATGATATTTCAGGTGCCAAAGCGGATGAAGCAAAGACAGGAGCAGACGGGCTGTCTAAAAATGCAGGTGCAGTCCTAATGGTGTGCAGGACATGCCACAAGAAAGGTGATCACTGGACATCAAAATGTCCTTACAAGGACCTGGCAGCAGCAACCGATGTCTTCAACGAGAAGCCACCCACTGGAGAAACATCTACCGTATCCGCTGCAGCTGGAACTGGCAAGGCCGCTTATGTCCCGCCTAGCATGAGACCAGGTGCAGACAGAGCCGCTGGTTCTGACATGAGGAGAAGGAACGATGAGAACTCCGTGCGTGTCACTAACTTGTCTGAAGACACCCGTGAACCTGACTTGATGGAGCTCTTCCATCCGTTTGGATCTGTGACGCGTGTCTATGTGGCCATTGATCAGAAAACTGGAGTCAGCAGAGGATTTGGTTTCGTCAATTTCGTGAGCAGAGAAGACGCTCAACGAGCCATCAACAAGTTGAATGGTTATGGTTATGATAACCTCATCCTCAGGGTTGAGTGGGCCACTCCAAGACCAACCTAGAAAATGTTTCAGACCTTTAATAACTCATTTTTGTTGTTGTCATTTCTCGTATTTCCTGCAATGGATTTTTTTTGTTTATCGACCGGTTTGTTTGTTGGTTTGGTTTGGTGCCGATCGATGATGATAAGAAATTATATTTATCCTTTTTAATACATAAAGCCATGCTTTTGTTCACCAATGAAAGTCCTAACATGTTATTAATCAATTTCATAGATATACGAAACGAGGGTTTAGTACGATTATGTACCTAAGGACTTGGATTAGAAGTGAGAGTTGATCAAGAGGGGAAAGATTATCTGCTATGATGATGCATTTGACCCAAAAACATACATCACTTCTTATTACAATTAGTTGTATACATGGGTTTTTGCTTGTAATAACATAAATCACTTCTTATTACATTTAGTAGTACATGGGTTTTTGCTTGTAATAACATAATTCACTTATTACAATTAGTTTGTACATGGGTTTTTGCTTGTAATACGGGTATTTTCTGAACACTTCTATTTACTAATACCACATAGAAGGATATAGTTTCGGATTCATTTATTTTTAATTATAACAATAAAATAAATTTAATATTAAATAAAATATGACCTATTATTATCATTATAAAAAGTCTATTAATTGACTGTATTTATAACTATTATTTTTTATATATAATTGATAAATTTTCTTGACAGCGCGGTTTTATACGAGTTCAATATGTTTTTCTAAAATATAGTTAAAACTGTTAAAATAAAAATATAAACCTATAGATTTTAATTAAAATTGAATTTAAAATGTAAATTAAAAATTAATGTTTTATAGAAGTGAAAATAAAATGGTTATTCAGATTTCCTAAATCATTATATATCAAGTACTATAAATTATAAATAGATATAAATATGGTATTATTTATTGATAAGATCAAATTACTTTCTATAAGTTTTTTATTATAATGAAATATTATGACTTCTAAAAAAATATTTTTAATTGAAAGCCTCTGTATTTTCTTAAAAATAATTTGTGTTGGAAATAAACTAAATTTTCTAAAATGGTTTTTTGGCGTATCGACTATATATAGTCATCTATATTAACTCATATATAATATAGCTTATAAGAAGAGTTTCCATAATGATAAAATATATTTGTTGAAGATTAATATGGTTTATACATTTTTTCTTATCAATATGAATTTATTTTAAATTCTCATAAGATCAATCAAAATAAAAGTATTATACATGTGTTTCATGAAGACATTAAACATTTTTCTCTAAAAAAAGTGTTGTCAAATTTTCTTTCTTTATCAATATGATTTTTTTTTTTTTTTAATTCTCAAAAGATCAATCAAAGTAAAAGTATTATACAGTTGTTTCATGAAGACATTAAACATTTTTCTCTAAAAAAAAGTGTTCTCAAATTTTCTTTCCTTATCAATATGATTTTTTTTTAAATTCTCAAAAGATCAATCAAAATAAAAGTATTATACAATATTTGTTTCATGAAGACATTAAACATATTTCTCTAAAAATAGTGTTGTCAAATTTTCTTTCTTCTTATCAATAAAATTTTAAATAAGTAAATTCTATAAATTGTATGAAATGACATCAATTCATATCATTGAATAGAAGATTTAGATAATTTCCATTCCTAAATATAGTGACTATAGTCTACAAAACAAAATTTCCATTTATTACATTTACATGTGTACTTACATAATTTCTTCTTCAAGTAGAGGTTAAATCTTAGATTTTCATCAAACTGATAACAGAGATCAAATCTTAGAGTTTCATCAAAACAATGACAAGGGTTTCACAACTCAGCATTATCTTCGGTGACAAACACAAACTACAGAATCTTCACAAAGAGTCTGTCAAAGTTCCCGATGTCGTCCAGACGAAACCATCGTCGGACAAAAACAAACGATTGAGCAGCTGGTTTGATTCTTCGTCAACGTCTTCGTTCCAAATGCCTCTTCACTACCCTAACTACACAAAGAAAGAGTACGAGATCATGTCGGAGGAGGAACTCGATCGGCTTCTCAAATTATATGGTCTGCCAACAGATCTCGGTGACTTGCCTTGCAAAAAACAATTCGTGGTCGGTGCATTCTTGTGGGAGAAAGAGCTAAACTCCTCTCTGGCTGAGCATGATTCAGTAAACCCTAATTCGTCCATTGGTGTTTAATTTGGATGAGAGCTCTTCGATGGGATTGATGGCCGTTCTGATGAGAGATATTATTGTTCACTTTATATTTCGTGTGTAGGAAGTCATTATAAGTAAAAGGACGTGATCCCCTTAGAGATATGTTCACTTTTGTTGCAACGGGATAATCAAAAGGCCCTCAAAGATCAATGGATTTTGAGAGAAGCTCTTGATGCTTAAACCTCAAGCTTTCTTCGAAAGAGAAACGAGAGAGATGAAAGACTTAGGGTTGAGAAAAAGTATATCTCTTATTAATAATATCAAAGCCGAATAACAAAGTTGCATGAAGCAAAGTACTTATACAAATCTTAATAAGAAAACCCTAATAGCCTAGCTTGAAGATAAAGTAATCTCTTAACCGACTTATAAAGCCCAACGAAAAATATGAAAGATAAATAAAATGATAAAACCCAAACCAAAGAGAAAAGGAATGTATACGCTACATCAACTTTTATGTTTCAGGTTGTTTTATATGATTTCGATCAATTTTAATGGTTTTTAAAAGATTATGGTTTATCAGATCTTAGTATCCGAACGATCTGGTATGAACACTAAGTTGTTAATTTTACAAAGTCGTAACGGGTTCTCGTTAATTCTCAGTTTCGACGAGTGATATGAATACACAAATAATAAAATGTAAACTAAATTTCAATAGGAAAACCATGTAACAAAATTTAGATGAAATCTCACTTTAGCCAAAGCTGAAAACTTAATAATACTGTATATATAAATTGAAACTCAGGCCATAACATAAATTTTAAAATATTAAATTACCTTCCGCTTATATGCAGCCTAATAAAGGTTTAGATTAACATGAGTAGCAAAAGTGTAAAGGCTTCCGGATTACCAAAACCCATTGTTACAAATCCATGGGAACATTAGATTTCGGAACTGCCGCTGATGCCTTCTTGCAGAGATCCTATCGCGCATTTGCCTGTGGATGTCTATAAAGAGCTGAGAAGCTGAGATAGATTGCAGGTTGAAGAACCTGTTGTCTATTTCCCTCCAAATGTTGTCTACCAAAGCTTGTGCCACCAGCTTTCTGAGCGTAGTCCGTGAAGTGTATGTTTTGAGCTTCACCCAATCAGTTATAGATATCGAGGAGTTGAAAGAGAGAGGGGGGAGTCCAAGTCTAGGTTGTGATTTAGTCGCAAGAGAGGAACAAATGCTCTCTATCTTCATCAAGTACATGTTTAGGAGTTGCCTCCTTTGAACCAAACTGCCATGTACCAATCTTTCTCCTCCATTGTTGGCCTTATCGCATCCCAAGTATGGAGGGATAGCTTTTATAAACATAAGCGTTAGTAAGAGTAAGAAAACAACCAAAGACACAGAAAGGTAGAAGAGATGTAGAACCTAAGACAATTCGTTTACAAAACCTAAAACCGGATACATATAATAAAAGAAAATATTTTGTTCCATCTAAAACCTCGAAGGGAACTTAATTACTGGTAAACACAAGCGTACCTCGAGGAGAGAAACTTCTTTAGATCCTAATGCTTTTGGTTTATATATTATAAACTCTATCGAAACATCTTTAAAACGGAGATGTCCTCTTGAATATTGGAATTTCACTATATGAAGCTCTTGAGACATGCAATATTACGGAGTGAATGTTTAGAGTTCTATCTAATTTCACTATCTGATTTTCTTTTACCGATGGTGCGTAGTTCATCTGCTCGCTCGAGTAGAGATCTTTTAGAAGTATATTCTTGACTTTAATTCAAGGCTAGCCTTAATTCAACTAGAGGAGTAGAGCAAGAAAGTAAAAATTTGGCAGCTATTTTGACATCATAAAAATTCGTGCATATCAAATGTCCACCAGTCCATGCCCTAGCTATTATTCTTTCATCATGTCGCTTTTCCCTCTTTATGCCGAGCAATGTGTGTATTTCTTTCTTTGATTTCTCGATATGATTATCTCAGACTCAGACCCTTCTAATTCATGATGATGATGATGATGATGCTTCATTCATCGTTTCTGCATTGGTAGGTTATTGCTTTCGTAGTCTGCAATAACCTAGCTTCTATGCCGTTGACGCTTCTATTGCTAATTAGCCATTCAAATTTTTAGTCATTTTTATATGTGATGTTTATAAACCAAACCTACGTCAGAAAATATTTTATCTATTGAGGAACAAATACAATGGTGGACATTGGTGGTCTAGTAATAATGTAATATATATATATCCATGATGTCATCAACCCACTTCCTCGGCTTAAACCAAGCTGCAAAGTCTTTCTATGATATTTAAATTATACGCAAAGCTACACAAATCGTATGAAAAAAAAAATATTCATCTCTTCGCATACCACATGCAGAATTTTTTCCAAACAAAAACAAGCCTTTTTACACTTGTTTTCCTGGTATTTGCATCGTTCAGCTTAGTATCGTAAAGAGGCTGAAAAGTGCCTCCTATATGCCCCCAAGCAAGTATAACATTTTAAATCAAATTACTAACAATGCAATAATCTTATCCAACGAAAAAGTTTAAATTTCTTGGCTAAAAATAGACTGTCATATACTCATATATACACATCAAGCTGGTTATGAACATTTTTAATGGAACACAAGAAACTCGCGATGTGTCATGTAGCGATCATCAATAGTTTATAGTTGATTAGTTGAATACTATAAAAGTTAAGTAGAAACCTAATGAACATGAGTTAAGATTTAATAAGACAGAAGATGAGACAACATTATTATATATAGAAAAAGGGTAAGAATAATTGAGAAAGAAAGGTCAACATCAAATCTTCGAAACCAAATCTCACATAGACCAAATAGACACGCGTCGTTATTTGATTGTCACAAGTAGGCATAATCTTATCTTTGATCCCACTTGTGTTGTGTCCCTCTCAGTCCCCAACTCATATTGTTTTGCCCTCTCTCGCTCCTTTCACGAACCCAACAGGCAACAGCTAAAAATCTATCATTGTGCAATATCTGAGATTATGCTATTGTGATCTAATAAATTCTGGCTGCTGCTTATCTTTGATGGTGAAATCTCCAATTTGGTCGTTTTAGATTATAGAGTTGATCTCTTCACGCGTGGGAACAGATAAAATTTACCCAAGTTTGGTTAAATCCAACATTTTACCAAAAAAAAAAAAAAAAAAAATCCAACAGCTTCGGCCTTCGAGTGAGAGAGTTTTCAACAAGTCTCAATTTTCAGTCTGAATCACGATATGTATAATTCTGATGGATATTAAAATTATAAGAAAAATGTAATCTTTCTTATCATTGGCTTTGCCGCTTTGTGATGATCAACTCCTACAGTCCTACTTGATGAAATATATTGCCAATATCTGCTGGTTACCAACTCTTTTGTAGAAATAGCACTAAAGCTATTTTGTGTTGTATTCTAAATTTCTAAACTTCCGATATCTAAGAGCATCTTCAACTCAACCCAATATTTCACTTTTATTGCTATTTTGGAGCCAATTTTGCTCCAATCCAATCCCATTTTCAATCTCAAAATGGCAAAATGTCATATTTTTTCCCAAAATGAGATTGATCCCATTTTCATCTCCATTTTGGAGTTGAAGTTTTTAATTTATATAACAGTCCTTGAAGTTTTAAATTAATTCAGTTTAAGATATATAATTAATTATTTTGATCTTTATTTTTACTCTAAAATACAAATAACACATATTTAATAAGAAATTTAATTATTTAAGCTAATAATAAATTAAAAAAAGAACACTTTTATTAGAAATAACATCAAAAAGAAATTTATTAAAACAACTTATTACTGATTTTTAATTTAGTTTAGTTTCCGGATCCACCAATATCACTAAAATATTCCAAAAGAAATAGTTCGTGAGAGTTCCTTTAGAAGAAGTAGTATTTATGTTGTTATTTTTAGTCTTGTAATAATGTATTAATAATATTTTCATAATTAATTTAAATAATTATAATTAATTGTGAAAGTTTTGAAGAAAAAAAATATATGGGGCAATTTGTAATAGATATAAATATACAATGTAAATTTAGTAATTAATAAAAAGTTTTTCAAGAAGAATATTCTAGGAATATTCTTTTTGAAGCAAAAAATGAAGCAATACATTGGAGCAAAACCCAACTCATTTTGAGATTTCTTCATTTTGGAGCAAAATATGGGGCAATACATTAGAGATGCCCTAAGAGCATCTCCAACCCAGCTCCATATTCACTTTTATTGTTATTTTGAAGTTAATTTTGCTTCAACCCAACCCCATTTTTAATCTTAAAATGATAAAATGCCATATTTTTTCCCAAATTGAGGTTGATCCCATTTTCATTTCCATTTTGAAGTTAAAGTTTTAAAATTATATAACAGTCTTTGAAGTTTTAAACTATTTCAGTTTATATATAAATAATTATTTTATGTTTATTTTTACCCTAAAATACAAATAAGACATATTTAATAAGAAATTAAACTATTTAAGCTAATAATAATTTTTTTTTTAAAGGAAAATATTCTTAATTAATTTAAATAATTATAATAAATTGTGAAAGTTTTGAAGAAAAAAAACTTATGGGGTAATTTGTAATATATATAAATATACAATGTAAACTTAGTAATTAATAAAAGGTTTTGAAGTAAAAAAATGAGGTAATAGATTGGAGCAAAACCCAACTCCATTTTAAGATTTCTTCATTTTAGAGTTAAATATGGGGTAATACATTGGAGATGCCCTAAACATTCATTGACAGAGACACAAAACAGACCGGAACGTATGATTAATACCTAACTCTCTCTGTTTTTTTAAGATGAATTTTCTAGTTTTTTCACACCTATTAAGAAAAAAATACTTTTTAATCATAAATACATTGATTTTTGCAATTACATTGTTTCTTATAACTTTAAACCAATAAAAATCTAAGAAATATAATTATTGTTTCTTAAAATCTGAAAAGATAAATCAAAAAGTTTAAAAAATTATCTTCATGAAACAACATAAAATTGTTAGAAAATTCATCGTAAAAAAATGAAGAGAGTAAATTTTAAATATTATTGTGAAATGTTTATTGTATACAACACAACATTGATTGAACAGAAGAAGATTCTATTATTTGGTAATTGTGGCAACTGGCAAGTAATGGACGGTGAAGATTTGATATAATATTTATGTTCAAGTTGATATAACCAATTCAGAAAAGAATGTCAAGATCCCTTTTCCATTTCTCTCCTTTCCTTCCTTCTTCCTAGTTGAAATTAAACTAGTCAATAATCCAAATCCGTTTAATTAGAGATTGATTCCGACAATAACTGACATTAAGCATTCGCTAATGTTGGCCAGACAATTCTCTTAATTATCTTACACTAAATTAAACAATATTCACAGAATAATTACTTTTTATTTGGATTCCAGCTGAGTCTCCCAAAACTATTTTAAATGGTACGTATACGTTCCATTATGATTTATGGAGTATTTTTTTTAATTAAAACCACAGACATAAGAAAACCATATTTGTTCAACATGAAAATTAATTAATATCTAGCTATAAATAATTCAAACCAATCAAAATATACTACGACATCTTAAACATCTTATAAAAGAAGAAAAGAAAGAGTACCATTCAAAAAATAAAAATAAAAATAAAAATTAAAATTAAAAAAAAAAAAAAAAAAAAAAAAATCGAAAATTAAACTACGACTCTACGAGGCAAAATCGAATGTGCAAAAATGACACGTGCTACGCCATGGCAGTGTATCCCATACCAATTAAAGAAAAAAAAACAATTAAGACGCGTAAAGATTCGTACCAAACTGGATTGGACTTTTAACGGCAAGAGACCAGAGTTACTGAACCAGTCCGAGCCGGATGAGTTAAACCACGTAGCAGAAAAAAAATGGTGCAACTGCATACAGAGCGTCCACATTTTTAACCCTTTTTTTGGTTTGTCGCACACACAAGCATTTCACAGCTTAGTAGGATTTTTTATTTTCTTCATCTGAATATATGTAATATTCCTCTGAATGTTTACATTTCTACTTGATACTAAAAAATACACGTATATATATATATAACATTACCTAAAGAAGAAATATATTATGGAGAAATTACGTAACTTTTTAATCAGCTCCTTTTCTTCCCAAGAATTAAGAGCTGTTTAAAAAAACATTAAATGAGAAAAGAAAAAACTAAAGTAGGAAACAAAATTAAAAATGAAGAAAAATTACAATTAGCTATGTAACAATTTCCCTAATACTAACTAAAGCACTAATCAAGACGCTTGATTACTATTATTCCTCCTCTTCCTCAGGTCAACAACTACGACGCTCACGTTATCCGAGCTCTGCCTAGCCAGAGCCAACTTCGTCAAGAGCAACGCCGCGTCGGAGCACGCGTTGTGCACCGCATCCGAGTCACCTCCCTCCGCCGACGAAGCACCTCTCAGACACATGCGAGCCACGCCACAGGCGGTCTCGTTAGGCACAACGTCCCATAGTCCATCACTCGCCAGGATCAAACACTCGTCTTCGTCTGTTCGATCCGTCACAGTCACCTCCGGATCCGGAATCACATACGGTTTCAAGTAATTATCGCCTGAAGAAACAAACAACAAAATCCTCAGATTAGTTAAAACAGCTAAAAAAAGTCAAAAACAGAGAGATTTTGATGAATGATGAGATTAACTGATCAACTCACCAATAGCTCTAGACATGGCAAGAACTCCCAAAACCCTAGCTCCGTCCCAGTAGATGACCCGCCCGCCGGCTTGCTGGATCCGATTCAACTCATCGGGTCGATCCGGCTGTTCATCACAAGGCAAAACTCTTTAGCAACATGCGATCAGGATTTACATACTAACGGACTCTATAAATAATATTTTTTCCGTTTAATTACCTTGTGATCTGAAGAGAGAGGGATTGCTACGCCGTTACGGCAGAGCACGGCACGAGAATCTCCGCAGTTAGAGACGATGATTTTCTCCGGCGTGACGACGGAGACTACGGCAGTGGATCCGACGGCGTCGCACTGAGGAGATTGCAGCTCGCATCTGCAGGAGTTTTTCATGCTCCGACTTGCACCATTAGCAGCAACTACGTTGCAGTCTCTTTGGCTCACTTCTTTGTCCATTTTCTGGAAGCTCGTTACCATCGTCTCCTTCCACTCTTCGGAAACCATAACTTCAGCCTCCTTCTTCACTATATCATGCAACCGCTCTCTACACTTCTCCGCAACCTAAATATTTACAGATGGATCAATTTTAGTAAGTAATTAATTATCGAATTAAATATCAAAATTATGCAGAGGCAATTAAGAGATGAGAGACTTACATGAGAGCAGCCATGGCCGTCAAACACGCCGTAGAAATGAAGATCCTCGGAGTTTTTCTGAAGAAATGAGGGATGAATCGAGACGGCGTCTTCCATGTCTCTTCTTCTACCACAAACCGACGTCGTACCGATCTTAGGCACATCGGAGAAGAAACAGCTCTCTGCTTCTTCCGTCGCGGAATTGGGAATCGGATTTGAATTTTTAAACGGATTCGTAACCGCTGATCCCGCCTTCACCCTTTTCCTGTCACTGCTCACATTCGATTCCAGATCTAGATTTCCCGGAGATGACAACAGAGCCGGTGTTGCATCACGCTTCTGCCGTTTACGGCAGCTCTCCAGCGAAGGAGCGACGGCGGAGTTGGCGACAATTTTGATCGACGGAAGTAGATCCAACCTCCGTCTAAGAGAAGCTCGGGTAGTCGAATCCACCGGTGCCGATGGTTCACTCTCCCCAACAACACCGCAACAAATCCCAGCCATTTGATCTTAGAACCACCGCAACAACAACAGCAACTTCAATTCGAATTCCTTTGGTTACAGATCAAAACCTCTGATTCGAGACTATGAATTTACAATCACTGAGAGAGATGTAGAGAGAGAGAAATATCGAAAAACGAAGAGAGAGATTGAGCGTTAGGAAATGCAATGGATTTTAAAAAGAAAAGGTTTGATTTAAAAAGAAAAGGCGAAGAACAGAGAAAAAAAAAAGGTTTTCGCATGGAAGGGTTACACGTAATTCACGGGCAGGGGGCATGAATGGAAGCAAAGAGTTGCTGACCGTCACCATCGACGGGCAGCATCCGACACGTACCGTTTGGTGTGACGTTCTATTTCCTGGTACCTAGATACAATCTATGCCGTCCATTCTTCGTTTCTCTCTCTTTCCGATCTATACACGTGGTTACCTTTCTTTTGGATATGCCGTTAACGTGGCCCAATCAGAGTGCGACACGGCTTAACGGTAACGACCGGCCTTTCTTGACACGCATGTGGTCCACCCCTTCGCTCTGTTTTTTTTTGTTGATTAATTTTTTAGTATATTTTTTGTTATTAAAATACGAAAATAATGCTGTTGATTAAATAATTAGAGACAGAGGTCATAAATATTAAATAATGGAATACAGTCTTATTCTAAACGTCTGGTTTTACTTGTTTTGTCAACTTTTTCATAGAATCAATATGAACATATAATTACTATAAGAGGAAGATACTTTAAACGCTTGTGAATTCACTAATTTAAAAATATATATAGTAAGAATAAGATTTTCTATATTTAAGAAAAATACTTAAAAAGATAAATAAGATAAATAAGATTTTTTATATTACGTGGTAAATTCTAACAGATTGATAACGAGAATAGAATCTAAAATACTTATGAGTAATGATGACAAACAGAATGATATTAGGTCAGCCACTATCATTAAATATATATTCCATTTGTCTTATATTATAAGCAGTTTTGGCATAATATATTTGTAATTTTTTGAATATATTTAGATGTATTTTCATCTAGATATATTCATAAAATTGCAGATACATTATATCAAAACAGTTTATGATATGGGACAGAATGAGTAGTAAGAAACAACATCATAGTAATATATATATGATTTACCACTTCACGTCAATCTAGTAATATACAGTTGATAGCTTCGTAAACATGAGAACACCAATAACAACAGAGTTAAATGTTCTAATTTTCATTTTTAAAGTTGTAATTTGTTACAAAACTGATGGTGCTCCTCGTTTGTTGAATGTATACAACAATAATAAGAATCTGTACGTAGTGCGTACTATAATGAAATAGAAATTCGTTTAAAATATAGAAGGGGAAATTTCAAAACTACACCTCTTGAGATGCCAATTTTCAAAAATACACCTCTATGGTACCAATTTTTAAAACTACACTTTTTTCATTTAGTAAAAGAACTCTAAACCCTAAAATATAAATCCAAAACCCTAAAATCTAACATTGAACCCTTAAATCTAAATCCTAAACCCCAAAATCTAAATCCTAATATAGGATTAATGAACCCAAACATATATATTAAAATTGGGGAAAGGTGTATTTTTGAAAATTTTCACACTATAGATGTAGTTTTGAAAATTTGCACCTCAAAATGTATATTTCATAAAATTTCTCAATATATAATCCCTACAAGGGAAAATGTCTTTCGTTCTTATAACTAAATTTCATGAATTTTTTTTTTTAAACCTCTATTTATGTTCTGCATGCATTGGTATCTCAACCAACGTACCACCACCTGATCACAACAATGAGAGTCGGGAAAGATTTAGGTTTGAGAAGAAGCTATAACAATGTATAATTTAATTATTTAACATAATTTTCTGGTTATTTCAGAATATATATATTTATATGATTGATATATTTGTTGACAGCAAAGATTCTTGAGATATTTTGGTTTCGTATTTGAGTGATTTAAGGTTTTTTATTTGTTTATGATTCCTCATATGCTTAGTCGATATAGGAGCTGGATCATTGACACGTGTGGATGTTCATCTCCCACTTGTGCCTAGTTTAACTCGCATCACCGATACACCGTTCAACGAAGAGCTGTGTACGACCACGTCTATACATCGCTGTCTTGTTGTTTATTATTTTAAACAACAAAAAACCCAATAAACTTGGATCTAAAGTAAACTATATAAATATCTCTGTTGATCACGAATAAATTTTCGAACACAAAAATATCTTCCATTTTGTGTTACTTTCTATCTTGGTATGAAATTTTCTTTCGTTTTCATGATTACAAACATATACATTACTTTAGATCATGAGATCAGAGACAGTGGACAGAAAAACAAAAAGAACATGCGAGCAAATGAAATCAATTTTATATTTAAAAGGAAAACCAAGTTGATATTGTTTTATTGTTTATGGAACAAGATAACATTATTTTAATGAACTTTGTAAATCGAAAAAACTGTCTCTAAATTTTAACATGATGAGATTTTTCTTTCTATCTTCAGAGGTAGTTTTATAATTTGATTAAAATTGGAAATATTAACTCTTCTCATCATCTTACAAAATAACATTTTTACAAAAAAAAAAAGAAGATAATCTTAGAAAGTAACATGCAAGAACAAAATTATTGGGTGAAGATACTTTGCTTTCACATTAAAATGTTTGAAAACACTTGCAATCGAACTGTTCAAAGGAAAAAAAAAAAGGAAGACAAAAACCAACAAAATTGAGCAACGGCAAAACATTTTACGGATAATCAAATAAGTTAAGATTAACCCCTTAAACCAAAAAAAATAATTCAAATACGTTAATATTTCAATCAAGTTCCTGTTCTTGATGAGGAAGTAGTCATCACAAACAAAAAATCTCTAGAGAAAACCACCAAACCAAAACAATCGAAAACAGAGTGTGATCAACACGACTCGAAGACGCGCGTGGAAGAGAATAATCATAATACGTCATTATCATTTCTCTTGCAATTTTATTTTTCGTATAAACATTTTTTTTGTTCTGATAAAAGGAAAAAACATTTTTTTGTGTTTTAAATTTGGAGGACTGATGAGATGCTGGCATGCTGCACCTGCACCACACTAACTTCCTCGCATCCAGCTGTGATTAAAAATTGAATGCGTCTACGTAAGCCCGTGAGAGAGAGTTTGAAACACGCGCCCCTATTTATGGGACCCACTTGACTCTGAAACTGACTCCTGCCCGAAAGTATCTTGTTTCTCTTTTTTTTTTTACTTGTAGGAGTATTATTTTTTAGCCTCCTAAACGAGGTCTGAACGACACGTGTTTAGTCTGACGTGGATACTGTGAGATGCTTCCTCGGTGACTTCTCCATGACTCGAATTCGGCGCTTATCCACGTTTCGATCAATCACAGGCTCTTTACTTTCTCTTCTGTTTTCCTTATTTTCCCTTTTAGACCTCGTAATTCTTTTTAACTAACAATTGCACCTCTTATGTTTATGAATATTAAGATTATACTCCAATTCTTGATAGAATTGTAATTTAAACCATTTATTTAATTCACTGGTAGAATTGTACTTTCAATCATTCAAATCATTCCAATTATAATTAGAACTTGGTTTAAATAATTTTTGCTGATAGAGTACGTAGATGAGCAAGGTGGGTCTTTGGGAATCTGGAACAATCAATAAGTTCCTGTAAATATGGTGGAAATATATGCAAAATCTGAAAACAAAATCTCTCTTTTATAGATCCCCGAGAGAACATAAAATATGATGAATATTGAATTTGTCCCCCCTTGATATTTCTTGATAAAGCCACAGGATTGTTACACACGTCCTCTTTGGTACATAAAGGAGCTGTTCTAATTTCACCAAGCTTGGGACAGCAAGAAAGCACGACAAAACCACTTACACTACGACACGTTGCATCATTTAGCTGTAATGAAATTGACCTACCATTACCGCTACGTGGCGGTCAAAAGAGAGGCGTGTGGCCAAACCTGTTAGAAGGAATCACCGGCAGGAACCTAACACATCACGAAATTCGACCGGTCTGCCTCGACACGTTTGTTCGTTTAATAACTCTTCGATCGCTTTTCGTTTTGTTTTTTTGTATTAATCAATAACTACAAGAGCTAGCCAGTTAGGTTGATTACATATTTACATTGAATATTGAATTAGGAGACTAAACTATTTCTACTATTTTGGACACGTAACCTTAACTAATTGTCTTTGGAAACTTCTTCCCATATGAATTTTTTTCTTTATTAGAGCTTTAGAAGGAAGACAGCACAATTCTACCGAAGATTACATTACATTAAACATAATTGTGCCCAATTAGTATTATATTTTGATTCTTTGAAGATATAATACACAAATGTAAAAAATGTTATTTATTTAGTTGCGTCTACTTCTTTTGACATCTGTGTACAACTAATATTTATATATCGCCGTGGAATCAGCATGCACCATGACATTTTCCCAACATGCAAGCATACGAGTATTATATAATCTTTCAACAATTTTATAGTTATTATTTATTCGTAGTTAAACTTCAGAACCTGAGACGGTGGGACCTACCATGCACATTCTCTGTAGAATGAGATCTACTACTACAGTACTACTATTAATCAATAATGCGAAGCTATAAGAGAATCGATCAATTGATTAGACCAATGTAGCGAAACCACTACGTCGTTACTGACATTAGTGTTCTATACCATTCTCAATCTCATCAAGAAGATCTCTCTACTAATCATTTAACTGAATGATATAAACGTTGACGTAAAAAACGTGGAACGAAAGTAAACCAATTCAAAACGTAACATAAGACTTCACGAAACTAATTCTAAACCTAAAGATAGGTACCCAAGGAAGTGTAAAGAAATTCTTACTCATTGTCTCTTACTCTTACAAGCTACAACAACAAGATATTTTTGAACAAGATAAACCGCAAAATTTGTAGATATTATTTACCTCCAAGCCTAAATTTCTTTCGTTGTTACTTATTAGGGTTCAAGACCGACTCGGTCTAATATACGAGGATGCACCCGGCTCGGGACTCGGGAGTCACGAATTCTTGAGTTGATTTTCAATCCATTAAATGTGTCATCTCAAGCAGTGTCAACACACCATGAACCCAAATGTCAATCTAATAAAAGAAACCACGCAATTAATCAACATTTACGGGTACGTGAGAAACACTATAAGTTATAAAAGGTTACCTGTTCCACAAGCGATGTCTTGATTCCAATTGGATTGTTGACATTCAATGGTTAGTAAATGTGGCACTCAAAAAATTGATTCATTTAATTTCTATCTCTACGATCAGTGATGTAAGTACCAATCAATTTATACAATGTTTCTTTTCTTCTTATTGTCAGTAAACAAAAACTCAAAATCATAAAATTTACCAATGGAAAAGCTTTACAGGTTTCCGGTTAAAACAACAAAAGAAATCCTAAAATTCGTGAAAAATGACATGATAAAAATAGAAGTAGATCATATGCCTCCGTAGTTCAATTTATCAAGCAACATATAATAAAGATGTCACCTTTCAGTTCACTTGTTACAAACAATTATCCAGTTATGTAAAACACTCCCTCCAAAGGAAAAAAGAGAAACCCAATTCGGAAAGGTCCCTCATTAAAGCCCCATACAGTGGCCCAAAAGGCATAAAATGGACTCATAAAGCCCTTCAAGGAGACCTTTTTGAGTTTTTCCCTGCGATTCTTCAAGCAATAGTCTTTAATTTCTATTCATGTTTCACCACTCGTTTGTTTTTTGTACAGAAGTAATTTCTAAATCAGCAAACTGGATTCAGAAAAGTAACCTTATTATTGTTGGAAACAACTAATTGGATTCAGAAAAGCAACCTTACTAACTGGATTCAGAAAAGTAACCTTATTATTGTTGGAAACAACTAAATGGATTCAGAAAAGCAACCTTATTATTGTTGACTAAATTTGCATCTTATTACCTAGCACTGGGGGAATTATGATGAGCTGACCAAATTTTTTGGGGTTTAGACTGCGTTTAATCTGGTCTATTTCCCTATTAGAGTAGAACTATCCCTTAGATTAATATATAATTAATTTATAATTTCCCTTATATTAGTATATAATTTAGAATTTCAGTAAACATACCATCTTCTAGTAAAAGTAAACATATTTCTGTGTTCTTCTGTATTTTGAAGTGTAATGCAGATATAGACTTAATACTATTTTGATGTATATGTCGGAGATAGACTTATGAACCCCTTTTCTATCTTATTTTAGCTGTTAATTTATTTATCTCGCATCAGCATCCTTGTAATTAAACATCTAGGTATATAGTCTTGTTCCTAAATTGGAAAACAAAATACGGTTCTTCTAATTAGGAGCTCAATTTGGACAACTCACAACGTAGTAACATGTTCACCTTAATTAGTTGATCCTTAAGAGTTAAGAGTCATTAAGATAGGGATGCTTCATGCATCAAAGCATATCTTTGCATTTTATATATTTGCGTTCAATCATAATTCATAAATATGCTAACCCAAATGGAAAACAAACAAAATCTGAGTTGACGTATTATGTACTTTACAAAGGAGTGTTTTCATACCTATTTTCGTCTAACCTATAAAAGCCCACATTTCTATTTATGATTTGTTAACAATATTTCCCACATTTTCACTTAGTTAATGGTTTTTTCCGTTTTTGTTAACTTCTTTTAATCTCACACATTTTATTCATCTCAGAGTAGAACAAAGCTTTCCCTTTCTTCTTAATTATTTCTAATACGTAGTTTATATATTTGAGTTTTTTTTTTTTTACATTTTAAGGTTCACTAATATTTAAAAAATAAAAATAATCTCATGCACATACGCATACAGTCAATTGACATCATGGCAGAACCTCTGGAACTCAACATCACAATGATTGAAGCGCTTTTCAAAATGAATGAGATTGATGCAGCACCGGAAAAAAATTGTTCCTAAGTCTTCCATCGAAGGGCATCACTTATGAAGCAGATGATAGAGAAAGATTTTGAAGCATAGGAGCATACCAAACACATGATTGAGTACATGGAGAACCAAGACAAATTCCAAAGATCATAGCTGTTAGACCTACTCACTTGAGAGTAACAGATATGAACTACAACAATAAAGCCTTCTTTAAGTAATAATTGTGGTTAAATGTCTTAGTTCGTTAATTACTCTATCAATTCAAAACATTTACCTCGATGGTTCTGCTTATTGATCAAATACTGAAGTGTGGCTGTGACCTTTTCTGTGATTACACGAGCTCTGATTGGGATGGGAACAATAAAAATTCGTGTTTCTATTAGTAACGTTCTCTCTTATTTATAGAAGTGTATTTGTCCATTTTTGTAAGTTTCATTTGTCCTTTTTTTTGTACAACGTGTCATAATATTGTTAAACGTCTATACATTTTCAAAATCTTAATGGTTTTCCAATAGTTCAATAATCGTGGTTTTATTTAAGTTTTAAACAGAATTTGCAGTTACCACACTTCTTTATGATGTAGTAAGAACATGACTATTGGTCTCTCTTAAGTGCTGTTCTTAACTAAAATGTTGATTTAATTAAATAAATTTTTTTGTGGTTAACGTGAAAAGAAAACAACAGTCTAAAATATCACAAAATGGGGCATATATATTCTAAAGTTTTTGGAATAACAGTATACACATTAGATTCAACAAATTTACTAAAATTTTAAAACATTAACTTGGTATACTATTAAGTATTAACATAATGTTGGCCGAAAAGAAAGAAATTCTTTTCGTCAAAAAAAACAAGAAAAAAGAAAGAAATTCTATCAACATATATGAAAGTCGTCTCATCGTTGACTGAGGACATCTCCGTCATTTATATGTTTCATTCACGTGTCCTCCTCCTCTTCTTCTTCTACTTCTTATGTGTTAATCAGAGAGTTGTCACTCCAAAAAGGGCAAAAACAAAAATAGCTACTAAAAATAAAATAATCCCAGCCACCGTGGGGGGTAATTTCGTAGTTTTCCAATAGAACTTCATTCCCGCGGCGTATGCAGAGGGTTACTCGGTAAATTAACTGATCTCCGGTGATGAATAAGATCCACTCCCACACGCCGGAGTGAATTCCACGGTTGTTCTCTTCTCTGATCTCCTCTCCTCCACCCAAAAAAAAAAAAAAAAATGAAAACTCCTCGCGGCGGCGGAGAGCACGGCCACCACCACGAGGCCCTGAAGTTTTCCAGTTTCTTCTTCATGCCGGAGCGGCCACGTGATTACCTCGTGCTTCTCACGCGCTTCTCCGTCCTCACCTGCCTCATCGTCTCCGTCTCCCTGGTTCTTCGCGCCACTTTTTTATCCTCATCCGCTCAGGACTATTCCTCCTACGGCGTCCGTTTCCCCGCGAAAGCCGTAGCCCTCCCGCCGACTGGATCCGTCGGGCCGATCAATATCTCCCACATCCAGTTCTGCATCGCCGGAGCAGCCGAGACCTGGTTCGATCGGAGCCGGTACACCTCCTTGTGGTGGCGAAAGTCCACCCGTGGATCCGTCTGGCTCGATAGACCGGTGAGAATCCCCAGAAATCACTCCGATATCCGATTCTCGATCCCGATTCGAGTTTCCGATCCCGGCTGGACTAGTTTCAGATTCTCCAGCTCGAGAGCCGCGGTTCGGATCGCTCGGATAATCTGGGATAGTTACCAGCTAAATCTGCCGGACGTGCGGTGGTTCGTGATGGGAGACGACGACACCGTCTTCTTCACGGAGAATCTCGTCAAGGTGCTCTCCAAGTACGACCACGAGCAGATGTGGTACATCGGTGGAAACTCCGAGAGCATCGAGCAGGACGTGATGCACGCCTACGACATGGCGTTCGGCGGCGGCGGTTTCGCCATCAGCCGTCCACTGGCCGCGCGTTTGGCCGCCGCGATGGACGGTTGTCTCCAACGGTATTTCTATTTCTACGGGTCGGATCAGAGAATCGCGGCTTGCGTTGGTGAGATCGGCGTTCCGTTCACCGAGGAACGCGGTTTTCATCAGGTACGTGTCAGCATTTCGATTGGTTGCTTTGTGCGACACGTGTCGAACCGTTTTTTTATCTCGATTTTTTTTTGGAGCCTGATAAATTTCAAATGCTGAATTTCTCGATGATTTTAGTTGGATTCTTGCCACGTGGATTTGTGAATAGCGAACTAAGAATCAAAGGTCAAACGTAATTATCACTAAGTAACAAACCTAGTGCTAATAAAGCATTTAGGATTTAATTATTGAATAAGTCACACAATTATTGACCAATAAAGGTCACTCAGTTACATACGGTTTTATGTTTTTTTTTTAACAAATTTTTTTGTTGATTTTATGAATGGTCCTAGTTGTGATCCATGAATGTGGCAGAAATTTTTTTGTTGAATATATTGGTGGAGCACATGTGTCTGTCATGTCAGGAAATACAAAGCTTTTAATTTATATGTGTCCACTGATCAACTTTCTGCAATTTGCTTGTTTTAGTCTATTGTTTGCTGGGAAAGATCCTATTCTTAATCATATCTTCTAAGATAATTTATGTTTATTCTTAAACTGTATCTATGTGCGTGTCATTATCACTCATCACATGTAGTTTCTGAGAAAAATTCAGTATCTGCTTGTACTTTGGTCCTGTCTAATTATGCAAACAAATCATAATATCTTTTTTTTTTATTGGATATTTAATTGCGTGAGTCGTGTAATTAGGTTTCTGTATAATCCGGTTTTTGGACTGACAATCATAAACATAAAAACAAATGCAGCTTGACATAAGAGGAGATCCATTTGGGTATCTAGCGGCGCATCCATTGGCACCACTCGTATCGTTGCATCACTTAGTTTACTTAGACCCAATGTTCCCTAACAAGAACCCTATAGAGTCGTTGCAAACCCTAATGAAACCTTATAGCTTAGACCCGCATAGAATACTCCAACAGGTTAACTGCCATGACCGGAAGCGTCAGTGGTCGATATCCATCTCTTGGGGATACTCCATTCAGATCTACACTTACTTCTTGAGTGCAACGGAGCTGACCACGCCGTTGCAGACCTTCAAAACTTGGCGGTCTTCGAGCGACGGGCCTTTCACGTTCAACACCAGGCCCTTGAAACCTGACCCTTGTGAGCGTCCGGTCACTTATTTCATGGATGGTGCTGAGGATGTGAGGGATAGTGGGACGAGAACTTGGTATAGCGTAAAGGATAAGGATTATGGTCATTGCGGGAACAGTGAGTATGCTCGGATAACTAAAGTGAAGAGGATATTGGTGACTTCAATGAAGACTGATCCTGAGTACTGGAACAAGGTAATTAGTTAGTGGTTTTTTTGTGTTCATGTTGAAAGAGTTTATGTAGTTTGAATCTTTCTTTACGTTTTTGTTTTTTTGTTGATAGGCACCGCGGAGACAGTGTTGCGAGGTGATGGAAGGAACAGGAAGAAAAAAGGAGAAAGAGCTGTCGATAAGGATTAGGAAGTGCAGAACTTCGGAGAGAATATAGAGAAACTCGTTTTAATTAGAGAGATATATTTGCACATACAAGTTTAGTTTCGATCATAGTTGGTTTCCACATTCCTAGTAACAGGAAGTGAGGATTTTCTCTATTGATACCTGTGTACTTCATTATGCAAACATTTTGTCTGTATTATTATTACTCGAAATAATATGGAATTCAAACACGAAACCACCAGTTAAAGATGTATACACACCTTACCACCTTGGGATGAATATCTTAAGCAAATCGTAAACCGAACCAAAAAGATTCCCATTATAGTTCAGTTTTAGCCTTATGGTTGGTTGCAACAGAACTAACCGAACCTAGAACAATGAAATGTTCACTCTTAATTCCTAAGCTTACTGAGAGAGGAAACACAAATCTCAACTTCCCTACAAAACACTCTACTGCTTACTTTGTTGATGTTTTCTCATATCGCTATACATGTACTGATGTACAACAAATTGGCAAAGCAAGCTAGCGTAATTGATCACCTTCTTGTCACAAATTGGTATTGACTTGCCTTTTCAAATATAAAAGAATTTTCCCTTATTTTGTTTTGTTAAGGTTAAGTGCATTAAAGAGGAGATAATGTTACACAATACTGCAGGAGTATGTTTTCAACATTTTTACAAAAGGTGATCGAGGCATTTAAAACAGAGTATGTAGTTGATATTATGAGCTTTCAATGAAGATAATGAAATACAGTTTGTTGTTAAATTTTTTTTTTTTAGGAAAACTGAAATAAAGTTTGTTGTTAAAAACATAATTTAGGAAAATTAATTAAAATCGAAATCCAATTTTCGATATTGTCCACCTGCGGAAAAAAAATATATATATGTTTGTTTCCGACCAAACCTCAGCTAACGTAGTGACATAGTTAGAGAGACGGATAAGACTTGCATAATGTAAAAAGGCTTTGTATGTAGACACGCCAGTTTACGTCAGATTAGAATAATATATATGATTCGTAGTCATTGTGTTGAATGATTTTTAAGAACTATCATATCTGCAACTATTACAACATACTAGGTGAATACTGTACTTAAGATTTCAAAGGTTTCTGTTCATCAGGTAGGCAACCAAACCGGACCATACTAATTAAACTAAAATTAAATTAGGTTCCACTTTGGCAAGTTTTCTCACTAACAAAAAAGGTTTAGTCTAACCAAACTGAAAGAAACAAACTAAATGTTCACGCAATTATACGTAGCACTTTCTTATGTATGAAACTGGAGTCAATTCGATTTTGACTATAGTAAGTACAAATTCTCAGACCAAATTAAACAAAACCAAACCGATTAATCAAAACCGTTAAAAAACCCACAGTACCCATAAACCCCTAGCTATCTTCCATTTACAGATAGGTCTGCGCATTTTCTATAGAAATATTTCCAAAAATATAGGCACTTTATACAAATGAGAAAACTATAACTTATATTATATAAACCATATATAATAAGATCAGTCTTTAACAAAAAAAGTATATGTAATAAGATCATAAACATAAGTAAATCCGTATATTTAGTTGTACACCGTAAACATGGCCTAATTTTGGTGCATCCCGCCAAGAATTCGGACAAAATAGGTGACTTTTTATTTTTAGAAACAATTAATTTCTTTGTTATTCACATTACGTGCTGTATTTCATGAGAGATAAGAAAAACACGTGACGTGTATAACTGTATTTTCTTTACATGATCCCTCTATATAATATATTGAGACGTTATTCAACATAAGAAATATGTACAACAAGTAAGGTAGGTGCAATATTGATAAACTGCCATGCTCGTTGCATTAGAGACGAGTCAATCCAAACCTCTTATAACATAAAACGTTATCATCCGTTTTCTTCCATTTCCAATCGAGTCAACATTAATATTCGATCAAAAACCCCAAAAAAAAACAAGAACAAAAAATGGTGACAGAGGAAGCTAGAACGACATCGGATTCGGTCGTGTCAGAATTTGAAGGGACAATACTGAAGAACCATGATTCATTCTCTTACTTCATGCTCGTTGCCTTCGAAGCATCTGGTCTAATTCGCTTCGCCGTCTTGCTGTTTCTATGGCCTATAATCACACTCCTTGACGTTTTCAGCTTCAAAAACGCCGCTCTTAAGCTCATGATTTTCGTAGCCACGGCTGGTTTACGCCAACAAGAGATCGAATCGGTGGCTAGAGCCGTCTTACCAAAGTTCTACATGGATGACGTAAGCATGGACACATGGAGGGTTTTCAGCTCGTGCAAGAAAAGGGTCGTGGTGACGAGAATGCCTCGAGTTATGGTGGAAAGGTTTGCAAAGGACCATCTTAGAGCCGATGAGGTTATTGGTACGGAGCTGATCGTGAATCGGTTCGGTTTTGTCACCGGTTTTATACATGAAAACGATATCGATCAATCTGCTTTGAACCATGTCGCTGATTTGTTTGTTGATCGGAGGCCTCGCCTAGGGCTTGGAAGACCGGCTACAACCGCTTCTACAACTTTCTTATCGTTATGTGAGGTAAACACTAAATTTGCATCATTAAAACATGGACAAAAATATAATTATATACATACACAATTAATATATTCTACAACTTTTTATTTGTAACCAAGATACATTTTTATTTCTGTATGTTTTTTACTACTACAATCTAAAATTAAATTTGGATAGGAAATGCAAGTTTTGTAGTAAATGATATTTAAAAAATATTTCTCTTTATGTACATAGGAGCATATCCATGCACCAATTCCGGAAAACTACAACCAACATAACCAGCAACTTCAGCTAAGGCCACTTCCGGTGATATTTCACGACGGACGTCTCGTGAAGCAGCCAACGCCGGGCACCGCTCTCGTCATCCTTCTTTGGATTCCATTCGGAATCATTCTCGCCACAATCCGGATCTTTCTTGGATGTGTCCTCCCATTGTCGGCCACACCTTACGTCTCTCAGATATTTGGCGGGCAGATAATCGTCAAAGGCAAGCCTCCTCAACCACCGGCGGCCGGAAACTCCGGTGTTCTCTTCGTATGTACTCACAGAACGCTAATGGACCCGGTGGTATTATCCTATGTGCTTGGACGCAGCATCCCGGCCGTTACTTACTCAATCTCGCGGTTATCGGAGATCTTATCTCCGATTCCAACCGTCCGATTAACAAGAATCCGAGATGTAGATGCCGCAAAGATCAAACAACAACTGTCTAAAGGAGATCTAGTGGTTTGTCCTGAAGGAACCACTTGTCGTGAACCGTTCTTGCTAAGATTTAGCGCCCTGTTCGCTGAGCTAACGGATAGAATTGTTCCGGTGGCGATGAATTATAGAGTTGGATTCTTCCACGCGACCACAGCGAGAGGTTGGAAAGGTTTAGACCCGATTTTCTTCTTCATGAACCCAAGACCGGTTTACGAGGTTACGTTCTTGAACCAGCTTCCGATGGAGGCAACGTGTTCGGCAGGGAAGAGTCCTCATGATGTGGCCAACTATGTTCAGAGAATCTTGGCGGCTACGCTAGGGTTTGAGTGTACTAACTTCACGAGGAAAGATAAGTATAGGGTTCTTGCTGGGAACGATGGAACGGTGTCGTATTTGTCGTTTCTTGACCAATTGAAGAAGGTTGTGAGCACTTTCGAGCCTTTTCTTCACTGAAAATCAGTTTATTATTCGATATTTTCTACGTCAAACCTTTTTTTCTAACTTTTCCTCTTGGTTTAATTTTGCTTGTGATTAAAGTCTTGATTGATTTTTTTTTTCCTTTCTCGTCTTGTTTTTTTAATAGATGGTTGTGTTTGTACTTTTGTTTGAATGTTATTCCTTTTCACATATGAAACTCCCCGTGCTTAACCATTGTTGAATAAATATTTGGGGATGAATAGTTTTGTTGGTAATTGTGAAATGTTGTTGAATTCTTCGAAGTGAATATTCATTTGTTTCAAGAATTTGGTGTCAATAAAATTATTCTCGTCGAAGTTGTATATATTAGTTAAGTAGTTTATTGAACTGTCAACATATATCAACGTTGAGTTCTAAAATATAGATTTAAGAATTTTGTGACGTCAGACTATAATATAATACAAAACAGAGGACACATCGAATCTTTAAGCTCGAAAATCAGATTCTGCCTTGAAACTCTTTATAATTTAAAACTCTTGAGTTTGAATCTGATGAGTAAGAGTCCACTCCACTGAAAAAGAAATTTAAAAACAAAGAGCTGCATCGATCTAAATATATGTATTTAAACATTTTCGTATGGATTGGTAAGAAAATGTAGGATTAGTCACCAAACATTTTCAAATTTGGTGGGCAGATTAGAAATGGACAAACTCGTTGACCAGAAGACATTCGCTGCCACTTTCCCGTTACAGTTGGCCTAACGCCAGTTCTACGTCATCGTTCACAAACTTTTTATCTTCGTTTTCATTCAAGATGAAATAATAAGTTACAGAATATGTAAATGTGAATTTTCTTTCAAGATGATGAACATCCAAAAGAGCTTTGTGATGTTGATCGCTAGAAATTCACGGAACGGCAATGGAATCAACTGTAGGAAATGGGTCAAACTCCTGCATTGAAAGAATTAGCAAAGAGTAAATTATCTCGAGGATCACATAGTAGTAAATGCAAAATAAAATGGTAATTTCTTCGAAAACAATCTCCATCTGCTTCACAGGTTAACCGAATCCTAAAGCTCGATTAGTTTTGCAGGTTTTGGTGTATGGGATTTGGAAAGAAATAATGCGAGATTACATCGTTTGATATCAAGAACCGAAACCATTTTATCATTTGAGATATAATGCAAATTAGTACCTACACACACACACACATACCTCTTTATCAACAGACACACACATCTGACCATGGTTCAGGCTCTTCTAAGCGGGACATGTCTAAGTGTATTCCCTCACTTGTTCAGACTTGTTCTCACGTTTTACTCATATTGTATCACTCTTTCGAAGTTTTGTTAAATGTTTGTTTTTGTATTTTTTATGAAACCAAACGTCACTTCTTCTGTAAATTAAAGTTCTTTTTGTATACCATTAAACCTTTAACCAAACAAAACAAGAAGAAGAAGTGGTAGTTCTCCAACTTTCCTTGTAGTTAATATATCCTAAACCATGTACAAAATAATATTTTTCAATATGTGATATATTAACTACAAAGAAAGTTGCGACAATTTAATCTTAGAGCCATGTACAAAATAATATTTCCTTGGCTAAAATAGTTTACTAAAGCCCATTTTAATATTTCCTAAAGTTTAGAGCGTGATACTTTACTATGTAGTGCATTTTTCCTGTTCAACAAATGGAGATGCCCGATTTAGCAACTTCCATGTTGTAGACGTGGAGAAGGAGAAGGATATTGGCTGGTGTGAGATTCGTGGAACTAGATAATATCTTAGTAACATTCATTTCCTGAAGATGGAAATATATATAACTCACAAGAAAATTAATTAAATGTGAATATCGTAGATCTGGAAAATACACAGCAAGGATGCATTAGACTTCCACTATATATAACACACAAACTATATATACACACACAAACACCTTTAGCAAGAATCAAGAAGTACATGACCACAGCATATTCGTTTAATTTACCCAAAGAGATATATTAAATTTATTAAAAGAACAAAAGAAAAAAAACAGAGAAATAATAAAGATAATGGATCAGAGATCATCTGAGAGATTCAAATAATCTATCAAGATCTCAAGAAAGAGATAAAATGTCACATACCAGCTTTATACAAGAAACACCTCCTCTTGTGATCCGATCTGAAAAATTCAAACAAGAATTTGGAACACGAAATATTTTTTGTGTAATCAAAACATACCTCTTTAATTACTTGTGTAAGCCACTGATTGCAGCTGCAGCATCATCAAGATTCTCATACATCAATAAATCTCTTAATATATATGTGATGTGCAAAGACTTGATGATTTGTGTGTGAATCTTGATGATGCTCCAACAGCGAACAGTAGCTGGTTGATGATAGCTATGTACTGATTTGGATATTTGGTTTTGCCTTGGATCTTTTTCTAGACTCAAGACATCAAGATTTTGCTGGGAACATGGAGAAACCCTAATCTCAATCCTTCATCTAGTCTTGTGACCTAGCTAGAGAGAGGAGAGAGAGAAACTTGTCTAAAGCGATAAAGGAGAGGCTATTTGGTGTTTTCTCCAATGATGTTCATAGATAATATATATTATTCGTCATGTTATAAAATCAAATATAGAGAACAAGTTGAAATATCTTAATTGAGATCTCAGAGACTCAGGTAGTTAGTACAACGGGCTACTGGGGACTTTTGTCAGCCCCAACTCGGATTCGAACATGTGCATCCAGTTAGTTTGTCTGAATATATTATAGATTAGTGTTTAATAAAAAAAAAATCCACTAACTGAAATACTGAATAGTTTTAGTATTTCTGCTAGATATTTGTTTAAAGAAAAACTCATCTTCTAGCTAGCAAATTTAAAAATCACTTGAAAATCGTTACTAATAATAATTTTATTGGTCATCCAAAAACAAAAAACCTTCTTATTTACGTTTTACCATTGAAACTATATACTAAGATTTTACAAAATAAAACCTAATAAAATGAGAGATTAAACAAAACCAGACCAAATAAAATGAGAGAATTAAAAAGGGAGAAAGGAGAGAGACAAGCGTGAGACAAGGAGAAGTGGAACTGATCCTCTTACGTTCCTCGTACGTTTACAAGTTACAATGCTTTCCTTAATTCTATATTATTGCCTCCATCCCTTTTTTATTTTATCACACATTTGTTTATTCAAAACCTACTGTCGAATTGAAATCACCGGCATATTCAAATTCGACAGCCTTGAAAGATCGTCTTGAACTATTTCCACTCCGGCACTCCGCTTGTTAGTATAGTCAGTCTCTAGAGTCATTGATCTCAAAACACTTAAGCCAAAGCAATTATCTTTGTGGATCTGGTGTTATAGATCATCTATGTCTACACTATTAGCATAACTAACATCCTTCTCAACGTATCTACGTCATTAATCACATCATTAACTGAAGCATAAATTGCAATCTATGTTTGGTGTGGGTTCCTTTATGCAAGACGTATACCAAAAGAGTATTAAATGGCAATTTATGACACATTTCTTAATTTAGTAACACCATTTCTCTCATTCACAAAATATTGTATTTGTGTTGACATACATTTACAAAACTGTATTGGCTTTGATAATATGTTTGCTATCTTAATTAGTTTAGTTGCAATCTTAAATTCTTAGCTATATATATATAGATATATATATATATATATATTTTTTTTGTCATCAAAGCATACCATTTTACTTGAAATACTTGAGAGCTATTTTCTGTAATATGATGTTTGCTCCTAATTTTTATTTCTCCGGAGTATTTTATATACACATAATAATGAAATTATATAATTTATCCCGGAGGAAAAAAAAAGTAAAAGAGAAATAATAAGAGAGATTTTTGTTATTCCTATTTTGATCCTTTTTCCACTTCTGATGAGCTTCCCGAACTGATATGAATCTTGCTTTGGTACTTCGATCGCTTTTCTATCGCTAATCTGTGGATTCTCTGAGAAACCATCGCCGGAGCTTTCCCGCGTAATCTCTTTCTCTCTCTCTGTGAGTTTTTTTCTATCTAGATTGTTCTTCCGTTGAATCCATTTGCACGGATCTCTGATCTTAGATCCATGTTATTTCATCGTCTATGATCAGTGAGGAGCTTGAATTTTGAGCTGATTTTTTCGGATTGAAAATTTAGGATTCGTGTTGTTTCAATACCAAATCGGATAGTTTTTTTCTTCTGTATCTTCATTCTTCAGCTCAACTCGAGCTCCGATTTCGTTCTCATGTGATAGAAGCTTTAACGCAGACCCTCTCCGTGATAGACTACTCCTTCGTTGTCAAATTTTAGCTGTTTATCTCCAGGTTACTTTCACCTCAGCTAGGGTTCGTGTATATGTACCTCTAGCTGCTTTTCGACTCTTGTGAATAGTGATTTGCTTGTTCAGTCGTAATTTCTGATGATTCGAACATCGAATTTGGTTTTGGGAATCGGAATAGAAATCTGGAGACTGCGGATTAGATTTTGAGCTTCCGTGATAGGATCCAGTGAGATTTGATAAACGAAGTAAAACTTCAAAGGCATGATTAGCTCTGAAATCTACTTTAGAAACTTGGTAAATTAAGTGTTTGTAAGATGTGTTTCTTATAGCTGTGGATTCTCATTCAAATCGAATTGCATATCTAATAACAAAAGATCTTTGTTTGTTTGCATAGTTGTATGTTTTTAATCTTCTTCTCCTTTAGAAGTTTATCATTTCATTATTTTGTTGACAACTACATGAATGCTGCAGAATATATGAACTATTTGCTGGCTGATATACGACGGTGGGAGCTTGATGTTTAAATGGTGATTATAGTGCTGTGGTCTGACTTGATTTAAATAGAAAGAGATGAGTTATACGACGACGGTGGAGAGTGATGATGGTATGCACTCAAGCATCTATGATGAATCACCAGCTGCTGATAAAGTTGGCAAAGGCTGCAGAAGTAGAGGGAAAGGACGTTTCCTGAAGAAAGGACCGTGGACCGCAACCGAAGATGGGATTTTGATTGACTATGTGAAGAAGCACGGCGAGGGTAACTGGAATGTTGTGCAGAAACAAACGAGCCTGGCTCGTTGTGGCAAAAGCTGTCGTCTGAGATACGCTAATCATCTGAGGCCAAACCTGAAGAAAGGAGCATTTAGCCAAGAAGAAGAACAGCTCATTGTTGAAATGCATGCCAAAGTGGGAAACAAATGGGCTCAGATTTCAGATCATGTAAGTACCTTAGCTACCTAGTTACGGTTCATTTTTCTGTGAGTCTAAAATGCTGAATCTCTGGTATTGTGTTTGCTTTTGCTTCGTATCAGTTACCTGGTCGAACGGATAATGAGATAAAGAACTATTGGAACACTCGTATCAAGAGGCGACAACGAGCAGGGTTGCCACTTTACCCTCCTGGTATCCATGCTGAGGATCTGCAGTGGAGTGAAGAGTACACAACGAGTAATTTCGTCAGGGTGGATAGAAGAAGATATCAAGATTTCTTGCAGTTTGGGAATTCCAAAGCTAATGTGCTATTTGACGATCTAAATTTTGCTACCAGCTTGTTTCCTAGAGCTTCTGATATATTTGCATGCAACATTCTAGGCACTGGTGCAAGCTCTTCCCGGTACGAAAGCTACATGCCACCAATACTGCCTTCCCCAAAGCGATCCCGGTTTCCCATGTGCAGCAGTAACATAAAGCATGAATACCAATCTCCGGTACATTTTCAGATGACTGCTCCACCAAAGACTCCTAGATCTTGCGGTATCTCGCCTTGTGACGTCGATCATCCTCCTTACGGTTCAGTAGATACGATGATTCCGAATAGCCATACCTTTACGGATGGCATGCTTCCTACTTCTAAGCCCTCGTTTGGGGCAGTGAAGCTGGAGCTCCCTTCATTCCAATATTCAGAAGCTAGTACGTTTGATCAGTGGAAGACGACACCGTCCTCTCCACAATCAGATCTCCTTGACTCTGTCGATGCCTATATTCAGTCTCCACCAGCGTCGGAGATAGAAGAGTCGGACTGTTTCTCTTCATGCGACACCGGCCTACTAGATATGTTACTTCACGAAGCCAAGATGAAAACTAGTGCGAAGCACAGTTTGTTCTTGTCATCATCTGAGAAGAGCTTCGTTTCAACTACTTGTACAGCTGATGATGTTACTCAAAATCTACCATCAGCTGAGTTTGATGATTCCCAAGAGAATCTGGCTCGCTCAAATCAGCTTAGCGCAGGTTGAAATTTCTGACGTAAACCTATTTCCATACTGATTCTTAAGCTGCTGTGTTTGGTTTACTGTAGCTGAGATTTTCGAGTTAGCTTTTGCAGGGAACGTTGTAAAGAGAGAAGAGTATGAACAGGTTTGGGAAGCAAAGAGAGTTGATATAACGACAAGGCCTGATGTTTTACTTGCGTCGAGCTGGCTTGACCAAAGCTGTTTAGGGATTGTTGGAGACTCGAGCAGCATGAGCGATGCGCTTTCGCTTCTTCTTGGTGGTGAAGACATTGGAAACAGTTACAACATGACTGTTGGGTCATCATCAGGTCAAGCACCACCACGAGGCGTTGGGTCTTCTTGCTCATGGTCTAATATGCCTCCTGTTTGGTCACTGTAACAACAAAACGAACCATATCACAAAATTTGATCTTTCTGTATTTTCTTTCATTTCTACTGCCTTTCAAGACTTGCGGTTTGTTATACTCGAGAGAAGATTTATATAGACTTTATATAGAAAAATCGGTTTGATTCGCATTTTATGTCCGTTCTAACAGACGAGCAATGTCGGATATTTGAAACAATTGATACTCAAAAACATAGGATAAGGTAAAAATAAGATAGTAGCTCAATATATAGAGACATCAGAAGCAAATGAATCATTACAAATAATAAAAAAGGTTTAATGGTCTTTGTTCACGCAAAGTAACAGTGCTCCATGAGGATTAAAACCCAAAATTCTCATGGAGCACCGGAGAAGATTATCTGTTTTAGACTGCGGTTTTCTTGCTTCTGATGAGTTCCTTAAGCTCTGCAAACTTCTTCTTGCATTGATTCATCGTTTTCCCAGGAACAGCTGCAGCTACTCTCTCCCATCTTTGGCTAGTCTCCTTAGGGAATGTCTTCAAAGCTTGAACCAAAGCTCTTTCTTGTACAGCCGACCAAGCATCTGCGTCTGTACTTCCACTTGCTTCACCATTGTTGTCTGAGCTTTGACCCACAACAGCTTCCTTAACCGGTTTTGCCTTCGTTGTGGTCCCCGCAGGTAGAGACTCTCCGGACTCCTCTCTTGTGGAGAGAGGGGACGCGATTGAAGCAGAGGATTTCCTATTCTCAAGGAAAGAATCGAATGCTTTTGCGGAGTCTGGTTTCTGTAGAAGCACTGTTTTAGTTGCTTTCAGAATCTCCTCTACGGATCTTCCTGTACCTATATACTCTGAGATTACTTCCCATCTCCGAGAAGTCCCTTTCGGATATTTGATCATTCCTTTCCTCAGCATATCAATCTCTTCCTTGCTCCATGGTTGTTTCTTCTGACTGCTGCTATCTGACGAAGCAACTCGGTTTGTAGGCTCTGCGCTACCGTTGGCTTTTGCACTTTCTTTTTCTTTAGAGTCAGCTTCTTGGTTTCTACTACTGTTGCACCCATCTTTGACCACCTTTGCCAATTCTAGTCCCTCTTTGTTTCCCATCTTATCACATAGATCCTGCAACTGCACGGTGTTAAGGGACGTGCATAGGTTCTCTATATCTTCCTCGGTGATCTCAAGCAGACCCTGAGCTACAAGAGGAGCTGAGAGAGTTCTGAGGCGACCCCTTTCTTTGCGTAAGAGCTTCTTCTCCTTCTCCTTAGTTTTCTTCTGTTGTTGTGCAGATTCTGCTGCTCGTTTTTCTTCATCTTCTTTCCGCCTTTTCTCTTCTTCAGCAGCTATAGCGGCTTCCTCTTCCTGCTTCTTCTTGGCCAGAAGCTTCGCATCTTTTTTCTGTTGCTTCTCAGCCTTTTCTTCCTCCTTTCTTTTCACAATTCTTGGGTCTTTTTTGTATGCATTGTCAACAAGAGTCCTGATCCGAGCATGTTCCTCCTTTCTAGCCTTCACAGTCATTTTCGCATTCTCCTTCTCCATCCACCTCCGTTCCTCACGGGAATCTGCTTGCTCAAGATCATGCTCCTCTTCATCAGGAAACTCCCTCCAACTCTTGAAAGTGTACCAGAAGTTGTAGAACTTGTCAACTTCTTTAATCTTTGTGTTCTCATCTCCCAAGTCTGGTATACGCTGATTCACTGACCACTTAGCATTTCTCTTGAAAGCTGGACCAAACACCTTGAAAAAGTCTTGCGGCGAGCAATCTGTTGGGACCTCGTCGTCAAACTCATCAGTGGAGTCAAAAATCCTTCTCCTCGTTGGATCCATCAATACCTCATAAGCTTCTTGAATTGCTTTGAATTTAGATTCAATCTTTTCTTTCTTGGCCTCCTTGGCTTCTTCTGTCTCCTCTAACAGAAGGAGAGAAGCGAGTTTATCCGGATGATTCTTGAGCGCAGCTTCACGATAGCTTTTCCTAATCTGATCTTCTGTTGCAAGATACCTCAGATTGCTCAAACCCAACAACGCATAGTGGTCTTTCTGCTGCGCACCAGACTTCTTCTTTCCTTTGTTGGCGTACGAGCTGAACGAAGGAACGTATTCCTTCTCTTTCTCATCTCCGGCTTTCTTTTCACCACCTTCACTGTCTGTGGTTTCCTCTGCCCAACCATAAAGTTTAAGAGCAGCAGAATGGAAGGCATGACCAGCAGGCTCACGGTTTAGAGCCTTCACAGGGAGACAATTGGAAAAAGCAAAGAACGGTTTTCCATCCACAAGCTCCTCGGAGTATGTAATTAGCTTAATGGCAGAGTCACTTCTCCGGCTCGGCATGATGGAAGATGAAAATCACGCTACTCAACTTGAGTATCCACGCTGATTTCTGTCACTACGAATACAGAAATATTGTAAGTTTGAAGCAGCAATTTAAATGGGTCGGATCCATATTAAGCCTACCAACAGTATAGTACACAAGGCTAAACTTATCTATAAGCAAAAGCTAAGCCTTGAAAAGAGAAGCCAAGCTTCAAAATCAAACAATACAACTGGAAGATTTCTCAGCAAAATTTAAGACGGACTATTAAATAGTATTTCATCCACAATTTCCTGCTTGATTTGACAAAAGAGCGTTGGGAAAATGTTGATAAAGCAAAAGCAGAATCTGAGAGGAGGTTTATGGCATGCTAAAGTAACTGAAATTCATGATTGTTAACAAAAAAGAAAAAGCAAAAGCCACATATAAGAAATAACTTGATAGCAAGAACAAGGCTATACAGAGAAGTGATGTACGTACAGATCTAGCGGAAAAAGCAATAATCAAGCTTCACACTAGACCTAAAATGATCAGCTAGCTCAGTCATAGAATTGCATTAAGAAAATAATCTATATCATCAGATAATCCCCAAATCCTAAGATTTCCAATAGACAAGGAACACACAAAAAGGCATCACAGGACATAACTGAAAATTCCTTCAAAATAACGGAAGAACAAAGAAAAAAAAGGAAAAATCGACCTCTCAAGAACCCTAGAAACCACACATGAGGATGGTTTTTACTCAATACAATCAATTACATCACAGATATAATAAAAAGCTGGATTTTCAACTGTATCACTTTATTCTCCCCCTTACGCACAACCACAAGATAATCGATTTGATCACGAGCAAACCGATAGCCTTATAAAGCATCCAGCAATCAATACCTCGAAAACAACAGTGTTAAATCCACAATTCTTACCAGAAACTAAGCTTGCAGACACTCCGATCCGTCGGTCGGAAGCTACTCCGGCGATACCTTGCCGCACGAGCTTCCTCCAACCTATGGCGGTTGAGAGAAATGAGAAGAAAAGTAGTTCAGTATTTTCAATCTGGCTCCGGAGGAAATAGCGGCGGCAACGATTTTGCAGATGGAGAAAGTGTTTGAGTAGAAAGGGTCTATCAGATTATTACCTGTTTGGTTGTACGTATAACTCTATTCCCCGAATTTTGGATGCACACCTAACACTATCGTAAGTATTTTGGGCCAGGCCCATATATTTGGGCCTTAATAGAACTATACATTTAACAAAACAAGTTCATAACGGTCGGAGAACGAATGGCCGTCGCTGCAACCGGAAGCCTTGTACGGAACTCCGCCGTCGCTGCGATGGCTTCAACGCCATGGAACGTGCGTCTGAGAGAGCTCGCTTATCAATCCTTGTTCGCCGAATCAATCTCTCTCTACCGGTCGATGCTCCGTTCAGGCTCCTCCCCGGACGCGTTCTCTTTCCCTTTCACTCTCAAGTCATGCGCCGCACTTTCGCTCCCCGTCTCCGGCCAACAGCTCCATGGAAACGTCATCAGAGTAGGCTGCGAGGCTGAGCCCTTTGTGCTGACTTCCTTAATCTCAATGTACTGCAAATGCGGCTTGGTCGAGGATGCACGCAAGGTGTTCGACGAAAATCCTCAGTCAAGCCAGCTTCGTGTTTGCTACAACGCTTTGATCTCTGGCTACACAGCGAACTCGAAGGTATCCGATGCTGCGTCTATGTTTCGTAGAATGAAGGAGATGGGCGTAAATGTGGATTCGGTTACAATGCTCGGGTTTGTCCCGGTTTGCTCGGTTCCTGATTACCTCCGGCTCGGGAAGTCTCTTCACGGCCAATGCGTTAGAGAAGGAATAGATTCCGAGTTCTCTGTTTTGAATAGTTTCATCACAATGTACATGAAATGTGGGTCGGTCGAATCCGGTAGGAGATTGTTCGATGAAATGCCTGTGAAGGGTTTGATTACATGGAACGCTGTGATCTCTGGATATTCACAGAACGGATTAGCTCACGAAGTTTTGGAGCTTTACGAGAAGATGAAATCGTCTGGTGTTTATCCCGATCCGGTTACGTTGGTTAGCGTTTTGTCTTCTTGTGCTCATCTTGGAGCTCAGAGGATCGGTCAAGAAGTGGAGAAGATAGTAGAAGCCAACGGTTTTGTATCGAATGTGTTTGTGAGCAACGCGTTGATCAGCATGTATGCGAGATGCGGGAACTTGGCAAAGGCGCGTGGTGTTTTCGACGTCATCCCTGTGAAAAGCTTGGTGTCGTGGACGGCGATGATAGGCTGCTACGGGATGCATGGATTGGTGGAGACCGGGCTTGAGCTTTTCGATGATATGATTAGAAGCGGTGTGAGACCTGACGGGACGGTGTTTGTGATGGTTCTATCTGCGTGTAGCCATTCAGGGATGACAGATAAAGGTTTGGAGCTGTTTGATGCGATGAAGAGAGTGTATAAGCTTGAGCCTGGACCTGAACACTACTCTTGCGTTGTTGATCTATTGGGAAGAGCTGGTCGAGTAGGTGAAGCTATGGAGTTTATAGAATCAATGCCTGTTGAAGCGGATGGTGCTGTTTGGGGAGCTTTGTTGGGTGCGTGTAAAATCCATAGGAATGTGGGTGTTGCAGAGTTGGCTTTTAAAAAGGTGATTGAGTTTGAGCCTATGAATGTTGGCTACTATGTGTTGATGTCGAATATATATACGGACTCGAGGAATCAAGAAGGGATCTGGAGAGTGAGAGTGATGATGAGGGAGAGAGGATTCAGGAAAGAGCCTGGGTATAGTTATGTGGAACACGAGGGGAGAGTTCACTTGTTTTTGGCTGGCGATAGAAGTCATGAGCAAACAGAGGAAGTTTATAGGATGCTGGATGAGTTGGAGAGTTCTGTGATGGAGATTACGGGAGACACGGACTGTGATAGAGATGGTGGAGAGGTTTTGAGCAGTAGGCGTGAGCATAGCGAGAGGTTAGCAGTAGCGTTTGCGGTACTCAACAGTGTTCCAGGCACAGAGATTCTTGTGATAAAGAACTTGAGGGTTTGTGAAGACTGTCATGTGTTTATCAAGATGGTTAGCAAGATTGTAGATCGCAGGTTTGTTGTGAGAGATGCGTCGCGGTTCCACTATTTTAAAGACGGTGTCTGCTCGTGCAAGGATTACTGGTAATAAAGCTTTGATTATGTACATACAGAGGATTACAGAAATCTGAAGATTGAAAGGTTCACTGTCTAAAGAAGTTTGATATCGGAAATGAGTTCGTCTTCTACAAAAGGGATGGTTTTCCGAATAATCACCTTCATAGGAGCTCCTGCAAGAAGGAAAAAAGATGTGATGAAGAAACCATTAAATGAAATGGATTCTTTAGTGTCAAGAGTTATGTGTTCACCTCCAGTAGCTTGATCATTTTCAATACAGATTGCTGCATAATGAGAATCAGTCAAATCCAGAAGAGCAAACTTCCATTCTCTGTTGTATGTCTTTGTCTTCTCCAGTGAATCGGTAGTCGTTTCAGATGTCTAGAGAAAACAAAACAATCAAACATCGTAAATCTGTATCAGTACTGTCTGTTTATAGTTTATACATTATGCTGCAAATACTTTACACTGCAAAGGAAATTTTCAGAAATAAAAGAGTTTGATTAGAGTCTACAACAAACCTTGTAAAGATTGTAGCCTCCTTTTGTTCCAGATTTAGACTGGATTGTGAAGGTATTAAAAGGTGCAGCAGAGAAGCCTTTTCCTAATGCTTTCACATATGCCTCCTGGATATACAATCACCACAACAGATTTCAAATTTCTGAAAAGTAACAACAACATTCAGGCTCTAAGTACATATGTTTTTTTCATAGAAGACTACCTTAAGAGTCCATAACTTGATAAATTCCTTTCGCCGAAGTTCCAGGTCCGGTATAGTTGACAAAAACTTCACTTCATCAGTAGAGTAAAATCTTTCTGCTAATGCTAAAACATCGTGTTTGATCTTCCTTTCCTTGTCTTCCACATCGACTCCAACCTACATTCGTAATAAACTGTAAATTTTCAAACTAAAAAACAAGAAACCATTTGACTGATTTTGTATTTCCTTCAATAGAAAAACCTACTGGAACATGTAGTGTTACCCCACAGGCAATCAATGAATCTGTGTGGGAGATGTTGAAATGCAATGGTGGAATGTTACAGTTCTTATAATTCTGCCAATCTACCTCAGGCTTCCCATACATATTCTTCTTGAACATCAAGGACCTTGGATCGACCGCATTGTTAGTCTGGTCTAGTAATCAAACCATTACAATCAGTGAACAAAAATCTTTGGAAAGAGAACAAATGATTGAGAGTAAAGGAGAATTGTTATATACATCTTGCGATGGTGGTTCGAACCAAGGTGCGAGCAAGCAAAGCGTTCTTCTTGAGATCATCGCCTCGCATTTGAAGAACTTTATCAGTCTCCGGTGGCGATAGAAGCTGAGAGTAGTGTTTCAGAAGAGATGTGCTTTTCACTTCATCCGGTAGAATATACCATAGATGAGTCTCCCTAGATGAAATTGATGGAATACATCAAAATTCAAAACACAAAAAGTAAAAACGTACGCTATGAATCAGTGAGGTTAACTTTACATCCGAGATGGAAGTTGCAGAGGAACCAGTGAAGGCAATTCGAACGAGAAGCTTCGCTGCATTTGCGACATGAGACTGATTCTCATCAGCTCCAAAAGAGTCTTTATTCTAGAGGAATAAATCCTACAATTCGCAGCCGTACTGTTTATGGATAAACAAATTAGCAGAAATCTGGATCGATGTGTAGAATCTCAAGAAGTAGTAATCAACTGAATTTGAAATTGTTCAGATGAGAGACCTAAATCGACGGGAGCTCCGGGAAGACTTTCGGTTTAGCGAAATTAAACGGAGCCGTTACCGAACCAAATCGAATCCCAGTTTAATCCGAACGGTTTTGCCTATATTCCAATACCGTTATTTTAACAACTTTACCAGACAATGAATGAGCTAAAGGATTTTGTTTTTTTAACCGGGATAATCTCGGACCAAAATTCAGTTGGGTTTGGGCATTTATCACATGGTTCATTTGGGCTCTCATATGTTTGGGCACCTTTGTTTCTTTTAAATTAATGCTATTCGGACATGGATTTTAAATAATTTCTAAAAAATTTAAGATTTTGCTATAATTGGTTTATGAATTATGATAATCTTACTAAAATATATTGTTATTGGATTGATGATTTTTAAATTCCACACAAAATCCATTGTTATTCAAAAAGTTTTGTGTTTTAATGATTTCATAAATCATTTAAACAATTTAACACATTGAACAAGATTTTCAAAACACTTCATATAACTGATTCTCAAAATCCATTATAAAAAAAATATTTTGATTGATTTTCTGAATATACAAACTCTCTCCAATTCTAACATACTCTTTATTATAAATTTAACAATTCTATCAGCTTTTTAAAATTTGCAACTCTATCTAGGGGGTGGGGTGGTTTGGTTATTGGGTGATGAATTTACATATAGTTACAAAAATTTTAAAGTTGATAAAATTTTTAAATATATAAAGAGTTATTGTTAGATTTGCAGATAGTTTGTATATTTAGAAAATCTATCCAAATATTTTACTATCATGATTTTGAAAGTTTTGTTATATGAGTTCAGGCCTGTGTGAGTTCAACTGTTTAAAATTCATGTCCCAATACCAAAGATTTTAATGGATTCATGAAATCATTAACACACAATTTTTTTGAATAATATTGGATTTTGTATGGAATTTAAAATCATCAAACCAATAACAATGAATTTTAATAAGATTGTTGGAATTTATAAACCAATAACGACGTATTCTTAAAATTTTAAAAAATTTGAAATCCTTAGAAACAAAAATATTCAAATAAAATTCTTCAACCACTGTATCACATTAGACATTAGTCACAAAAATTTGGCCAGGTAATAGTACGAAAGGCCTAAACTTAGGTAATAGTACGAAAGAATATATCTTTAAATCGTGCTTTCACATGGTGTATTGATTACGTTACATTTTGGACAAAACCTAA